TGAAAATAATAAAATACTTTTAAAAAGATACACACAAGCTCAAAACCCTCAAGGCAGGAGTAAGTGAGTGAGCTGTGCTTGAGACCCACAAGCCTCATCTGTGGGGTAGCAGGGACCATGGCTAGGCTAAAGGGGTTCTACTGAGCCACCCCTTCAAGATGGACAGCAGATGGACACATGGAGACAAGGCAAGGGGCCATTCTGAGACTGTCCCTGTCTGCCTAGGCTCCCACTCTTCACTTGAGGGAGTCAAGGTTCCCAGGGTGGGAAACTGGGTCTTTCTCCCTGTCTGCTCCCCACAAACACCTACAATGTTCAAGCTATTGGCTGGCAGTCTGCCACTGGACTGCAATCTCCACAGCAGGCCAGTGGCCCAGGACAAGAGGAGGCCAGTGGCTCAGGACAAGAGGAGGCCAGTGGCCCAGGACAAGAGGAGGCCAGTGGCCCAGGACAAGAGGAGGCCAGTGGCCCAGGACAAGAGGAGGCCAGTGGCCCAGGACAAGAGGAGGCCAGTGGCCCAGGACAAGAGGAGGCCAGTGGCCCAGGACAAGAGGAGGCCAGTGGCCCAGGACAAGAGGAGGCCAGTGGCCCAGGACAAGAGGAGGCCAGTGGCCCAGGACAAGAGGAGGCCAGTGGCCCAGGACAAGAGGAGGCCAGTGGCCCAGGACAAGAGGAGGCCAGTGGCCCAGGACAAGAGGAGGCCAGTGGCCCAGGACAAGAGGAGGCCAGTGGCCCAGGACAAGAGGAGGCCAGTGGCCCAGGACAAGAGGAGGCTGGCTGAAATTCAGACACAGACTCCTCCAGGACAGCAGATGAGTGGCTCCAGGGCTTGTAGGCTACCAAAAAGCTGAGGGCTGTGGTTGGGGGCAAGAAGGAACTGCAGGCCCTCTGCCCGCAGCCTGTGGTGTGGGCACGCAGAGGGCCGTTTTAGACACTGAAGCAGATGCTGCACTGCAATCCCTCTCCTGTGGGCTTTCTGGCATTATGCCTCCTCCCCTGGGAACATTCAGCCGTCCTCTTCTACCAGGTGAGTTCTCTGCCCATCCCCAGATGGTCCTCCTTTCTCCCTCTGGGGACCTAGGTGAGGGCAGGACAAGAGGACCACATGTAAGGTGCTCTGCGGCTCGGGGCTCCTCCTTCCACTGACCTGGTCTCCAAAGTGGGAGAACCTCTTTGTTCCGTGTGAGTTACTCTTCTGTTGCTGTTGTCACAACCAAGGCAACTTATGGAAGGGAAGAGTTTATTTGGCCTATGGTTCCAGAGGGGCAAGAGTCCATAATGGCGGGGAGGCGTGGCGGCAGAGGTGGCTGGAGCAGGAAGCTGAGCTCTCACATCTTCAAGCAGGTGCAGGAAACAGAGAACGAGTGAAAAGGAGGCAAGGCTATGAGCTCTCAGACCACCCCCTTGACATGCTTCCTCCAGCAAGGCTACGCCTCCTAAACATCCCATAACAGCTGTATTTGTTTATTTTTTGTTGCTGTATAAAACACTAAGACCAAGACAACTTACAGAAGGAAGAGTTTATTTGGCTTACAGTTCCAGAGAAGTAAGAGTCCATCATTGGGGGAGGTGTGATGGCAGAAGTGGCCAGATCAGAAAGCCGAGGTATCACATCTTCAAGTGCACAGGAAGCAGAGAGAGACTGGAAACCTGGCAAGGCTTAAGAAGTCTCAAATCCCTCCCCCAGTGATGAGCTTCCTCCAGCGAGGCAGCACCTCCTAACACCTCCCAAAACAGCGCCACCAACTGGGGACAAAATACAAAATACTTCAAATACTTGGAGCCTATGGGGGACATTCTCATTCAAACCATCACAGCCTGGACCTCAAATAAGGCCAAGAGGACTGTGGCTGGGGGCCTGTGGTCTGGCACAGGTTGGAGCATCCATAACAGGGCTGGTTCTACCCTAGGCATAGTCCAAGCTTTCAGTGTGGCTGATGGGTCCACCTCTAGGCAAAGGGTGGGAAGGGATGGGGTCTGAGCCAAGCTGGCTACTGGTTCTTGTTGATGGGTAACAATTGGGGTCCCAGGAAGCTTAGCTCATCCTGTTCCATCATCTACCCACAGAAGAGACATCCCTGCCTTGGCCAACTAAGTGGGGTGGGACAGGTAGGCAGCCAGGATCCAGGCAGAGGACCTGGACCCTCACAACACCAGGGCAGAGGCGGCATTGCCATCACCCCTAAGCACATGACAGTCTTGGGAGCCATTCCCCTCACATCACAGGCCCAGGCCCCCAGAAGGTGCTCAATAAAGGTTGAGGAAGGGAGCGCATGGAAGCAAGGCAGTTAAGAGACACCAAGTCTTCAAGAAGGGCTGTGACCCTTCCCTATGCTCAGGAGACAGGGAATGGGAGAGCCAGAGCAGCAATGGCAGGTAGGGCTGGAGGTAATGACCCCTGGAAGTTTCTGGAGCATGGTCCACAGAGGTGACTGCTAGACAGGAGTATGAGCTCGTGTGGGACTCCTAACCCAGGAAATCTTGAAGGGGTCTAGAGGGAACGGTGCCATCAGAGCAGGCTGCTCAGCGAGGGTTTCCATGTCAGATGGTAAAGTGGCAAATGGGTGGGCAATGAGTAACTGGGTGTGTGGACAGATGGGTAGGTAGAAGGAGCATAGACAGTTGGGTGAATGGAGAAATGATGGATGAGCAGACAGGTGGCAGATGGACTAGTGGACAAACAGATGAATGGATGGATGATGGATGACGGATGATTCATGGTAGATAATGCATGCATGCATAGATGGATGGATGGATGGATGGATGGATGGATGAACAGATGGATGATGGATGATTCATGAACAGATGATGGATGGTTGAATGGATGGATGGATGAACAGACAGATGATGTGTGCATGGATGGATGGATAGATGGATGAGTGGATGATAGAGGGATGATTCATGGATGATGGATGGGACAGGTAAATGATGGATAGATAGTTCATGGCTGATGGATGGATGGATGGATGGATGAGACAGGTGGCTGACAGATGGGTGAAGGATAAACAGATGGCTGGTCAGGCAGGTAGACTGACAGATGGATGAGTGGATGGACAGGCTAGTGGATGTGTGGCCCTGGGCCCCTGAACATGTGGTCCTTACTGTCAGCTGATACCTGCTTTCCTCTGAGCCATAGTAAACATGCAAGAGGTCAAGGCCTCTCTCCTCGTGTCGCCTTCTGGCTTGGGACCTAAGCCACAGGGGCTGTTCTCACGTACAACAGCTCCATGCCCTGCCTGTAGCAGGAACCCAATAAACGGAAGGAAAGAACAGGGAAGGAGCAGGCACCCTCTGATGGTGGAGCCATGAGCAGTTGCAAGTGCGGTCGGCCTCAGGGTTCCCCCATCGACTCTGTTCCCCTTCTGCCCCTTTTCACCCCTGTAACCCTCTCACTGCCGCAGGGCTCCCGTCCCCTACACGTCCGGTCCTCAGGCTAGACTCCAGGGTGCGCGCCTCCTGCTTGGGTCTGGCTGGCTAAGCCACATGCCAGAGGTACCATTTGCATCATCACATTCAGTCATGCAGCCGTTGCTGCCTATTTCCAAAACAGAGGTTCTGGTTTCATTGAACACCAGCCCCCACCTTCCAGGCCCCAGCAGCACCACTCCTCAGGCTGCCCTGGGGATTGTGCCTGTCTGAGATATCTCAAAGGGAGCCCTCAGGACGCGCTGTCTGGCTTGCTCCACTAACATGCACTTGCCCCAGGGTTCAGTGTCCAAATGGCCACGGCCCTCCTGCTGCAACGCCAACAGCAGCCCTGCCCGGGGCTGCTGGGAATGAGGTGAGGCCGCCTCAGAAGAGGTCTGGCAGATGGGGATGCTTTGTCAGGCCACTGAGCAGGGAGGTGAGGAACGCTGGAGGCTTGCAGAGGTCGGTGCAGGGTTAGACACTGGGCACAGTGACCAGCACAGCTATCCCTTAAAGAGCTTTCAAAGGACTCACAATGGCATTCCAATCCCATTTATCAAACAAGAAGCCAGGCCTGTCAGCCCACAGTGCCACTTAATGTCAGCAAATAAAACTCAATTAGTAAGAAAGGCTCAGAAGCCCTTGGTCTGAACAGTAGGTAGGGGTCCGGCTTCCCTGCCAGGAGAGAGGGTGCTTAGCAGAGTGTGACCTGGCACAAGTGGAGCCTGGCACAGGGCTGGCACACTATGTGGGGTCAGCCAGCCAGAGTGGAGCTGTGGGGCCCCTTTATCCATGAGTACTTATTAAGCACCCACTAGGGACAGGCTTAGGGCAGGCCAAGGCCAGGGCAGGAGTTCCCAGGAGGGGAGTCGGGTGGCTGACTGCTGACTGCACGACTTCAGGGTCTCTGGGATGCTCAGGTTTGTTTAACTGCTCCAAAAACAGAGATGGCTTTGTGTGCAGTCTTCAGCAAGCACAAACCTGTCCACCCTTGCAGACCTGAGGGAAGATGGCCCTGGGGTGCTCCTGCGGGTGACTAAGTTGCAGATGGGTCTTTCTTAACCGTCTCTAGGCACATGTGTGCGCATCAGCATCTCCACATGCACACACATGGCCCTGTTCAGAGGAGCCAGAGGACACTCTCACATCACAGCAGTGGGGCATCCCAATTGTTACTGGCTTCATGTCTCTGCAGAGATGGCTCAGGCAGGGAGGGGGGCCCCCTAGCGTCTGTCTTTACACCCCGCACTGCTTCCTTGTCCACTTGTGGCACCCAGGGGGGATGGCTCTTAAGGACCCTCCAACCTCACCAGGATCCCTCTACAGAAGGCCACAGACCAGAAACCCCAGGCTTCACTATGGGCAGCTCTCTGAAAAGCCATCTACAGGCATGTCTGTCCCAGTGATAGGCTAGGGGCACCAACAACACTGAGCAGCTGCTGGCTGAGTCAGGGCCCTCCAAGGCTCCTTGAGGGTTTGCACAAGGAGCACAGGTGTTGAGTCATAAGGGCTGAGCCCACAACAAATTTATCTCCCATGGAGATGCAGGTGGGGAGAGAGTTCAGTTAGCTGACGCTTCAACTCAGTTCCATAGTCAGAAAGGCTTTTATTTATTTCATGGTTCAGCTGCCGAAAGCAGTGTTGTCCTTCCTACCTCCCATCCCTGTGAGCTGTGGACAAAGCTCTCCAACTCTCAGGGGCTGCTCCCTATAGGTGGGTAAGCTCCTCTGCAGACTGGTGCCAGACTGGGAGCACAGAGGCATGGATGCTGGAGGTTGGGACTGTGACCTCAGGAATCCAAGGACATTAGGCAGCCAGGGTGCTGGGCACGAGGCTAGGTGCTTAGTAGGAGGGCAATCCTGGCCTAGGGGTCCTGCAGAAGGGTTACACCAAGCCCAGCTAGAGGGTTCAGCGTCCACATGAGCCTCAGGACCCTAGCACATCCCCCATGCCCCTCACTCAGGAACTGCCACAGCTTTCCAGCCTGAGAATGCTACCTCTAAGGGGCACCCACTATGGCCCACCACCCTCCCCTGGAGCCCAAGCCCCCCTCTGCTCTTCAGTGATGAGTAAGGGCTGATGAGAACTGAGAGTCAAATCTTTGGAACCACAAATGAGATTGGTGAGTAGACTCCTGGAAAACATCCAGGCTGCAGCAGCCTGTCACTGAACAGGGGGCCCAATACTCAGGCATTACGGGAAAACAAATCCTACATGAACTCTGTCCGATGATCGAGGACAGCATGACTTACTCATTTGGGGATGAAGGAGTGTGCTGGTGGTGGGGGCTGCGGCAGGCAGGAACACACAGGCAAAGGGCCACCCTGCAAATGAGCTTGAGCCAGAACCAAGGGTGGCCCACCCACCCACGGCTGCCACCTCAGTTGGCTCAGTGTCCTCTCACTAAAGCCAGGCTTAGAGGAAGATAACCCCACCTCCAAGTCCCACAGGCCTGGCCTCAGAGGCCTCCAGCTAAGATCAGCCCCAGTCTTACTGAGGTGACAGCAGTCATTACAGCCTCCATCCAGGCTCCTGTCCCAGGCCTGTCAGGGTTCCCTTTCTTCAGTTGGCTGTGTGAGATGCTATGGTCAGGCCCCGTGCACCCGGCCATGGAGGGCCTGAACTGCTTCCAGGTGAACTTGGACCTCCACGTGGGAAACTGACCAGGGTTAATGCAGCAAATTCCTTCCTCCTCCACCCATCTGTGTACCATCTATTCTCACTCACCATTAACCCACACACCTACTGAGGCCTCTGCTTCCTGACTGCTGCTCACCCCCAACGCCACCCACAGCACCAGGGCTGTGGCCTGTCTTTCCATGAGGTGGGAACAGTGCTTCTGCGGGGACAACAGACAGGGCTGTGACAGGAGCTTCTGTTCTCCCAAGCATCAAACACTGCTGGGATGGTCCACTCCAGGCCCAAGCTGGGACCCTTCTCCAGTAGCAGGGTGGTCTAGGCATGGAAGTCTCCAGCAGAGGGGCATCTGGCCTAGAAACGCCCACCTCATTGGCCAGTCTGTGGACACCTGCTCCTGTACCCATCCAATGGGACTGTGACACTGAAGTGCTCAAGACCCAGCTGCCAGTGGGGCAACTCAGCCTGGCTCACAGGTAGGAAGCAGAAGGAACCAGGCATGCACTCAGAAGGCTAAGGCAGGATTGTCAGTGCCAGGCCTCCCTGAGCTATGTGGTGTGGTGTGGGGGGGAAGGTACATACACAGAGGGCCCAGAGCAGTCTGCTTGGAGAGCTTGGGGCTTCTGGCCTCAGTGGCCACTGGGCAAGAGAAAAGGAGATGAGGTCCTGCCAGCACTGTCTCTCCATCTGGTCTCCTGAATGGGGAGATTGTGAGCTTGGGCTTCAGCGCTGGCCCTGAGGGAGACCAGATGTTCCCAGCAAGCAGGAGGCAGTGCAGCACAAGCTCTCCAGGCAGCTCCCGCCCTTCCCCAAGTCCACACCAAGAACCTCTAGCACAGACCCTGAGGAGCTGTCAGGGGTCGTGGACAGGAAGGCAGCACCTGTGGTCTTCACCCTGGTCCTCTCAAGAACTCTCCCCTGAGCTCACAGGGATGCAGCCAAATGAGGCGCCTGCTCCAGTTGTTGTGGAAGGAGGGGGTTCCCTGGGGCCAGACATCGGTCAGGAAGGTGGCAACACGGCCAGGGTCAGCCAGCACTAGCCCTAGGATGGGGTCTGTTGGGCACAAACCTTCTTAGGGAACCCAGGTGCACTGGCCAGGAGCTCCCCCAGCTCTGTCCCCATTGTCCCAGGAAGTAGCTCCCAACCTCTGACCCCCTGCAGCAGTTCAAGTAGCTGCAACAGTGACCCAACAGTCCACACTGTGAGCCAGAAACCACACATCACATGAGCATGCAGCCGTCACCCCAGACACACAAGGGAAGTGCTGTGAAAGCAGCGGAGCTCACAGCGTCAACATCTCTGAAGCCACCTGCTTCTATGATCACACATTCACAAGGGCAGGAAGATGGCACCAGACAGTGCTGTCTGCAATGACCATCCTTGCTTGGACACAGAACGCAGACCAAATGCTCCCCAAGCCCCGGCTCTCAGGGTTCCAGGGGGAAGGTCTCTTGGTGAAGCAGCTGGCAAACACTGAGATAAAAACTACGTGCCAATTCAACAGGACATGATCCTAGATGGTGAGGTCAGGGCAAAGCCAAGGTGGGAGAACATAGAAAAATACACCTATCTGGTGTGCATTTGAAAGAAAGAGCTGTCACTGAGTACACGGGGCCGGGAAGCACAGGCACAGCAGCCATGACGCTCCATGAGGTCTGGAATAGTCATGTCCCCCACAGTTGGCCTCCATAAACCAGCCCATGCAGACACATCTTCACAGGCACATCTTTCAAGCCACCTGCTAATCTGCCCAAGGGCAGTTGAGCTCAAGCCTCTAAGTGCTGCTCTGTGAGGGTGCAAACTTCAGACTACCTTCCGGTGCCTCCTCCAGGTTTGTTCACATAGGGCTGGAACTCAAGGTTTTGGGGAGCGTGGACCACTGGACACGTACTGGCTTTTAAGCCACTCACTGAAACTAAGGTGTCACTGTGGGACACGGGCTGAGGTGAGCCTGCTGCCCACAGGGCCGCTGCAGGGTCCTGCGGTTGAGCATGTGGGTTCGTGGCTGAAGTGGATGTGAGACAGGAAGCATGGTGTGTATGCAGCTACGGGGATGGGGGTGGGGTGGAACGGGAACACTGAGGTCAGGAACTAAGGCCAGCGTCCTCAGGACTGGGCTTGGGGTCCACCGGTCAGGCAGACTTGAGTCTCCCAAGGGCTAGAGGCACACCCCTCACGAAGTTCCTCTCCTTAAGAACAAACACACCTCAACCTGACCGCATGACTCTGTCAGTCAACACCAGAGGCAGAAATGGCTTCCTGGGTGTGGCTGCAGCTGGCGGAGGCTCCAGAATGCAGAGGGACAGGGTGCAGGTTTAGGGCCCTCTGTGTAACTGAGATGCCACCCTGACAAGAGCCATGCTCCCGGGGACTCGAGTCTGAGCATGCTCTCCAGCCCAGCAGGCAGTCTGCGCCCCACAACTGCATGAGCTGCAGAGTAGAGCTGCAGGTGTCAGTGGGTGCAGACAAGGACCTTCAGTTGTCACCCGCTGTGGATGAAGAGGGTAAGGCAGCATGGGTTGTGGCCACACACCCGCTAGGGCGATCCTGGAGGGCCTCAAGTTTGATCTCAGTCCTGAGAGCCATGTGGGGCCGCCTTAGCTGCTGCTGGCTCCTGAACACAGTGTGCAGTGCCCGCAGCTGCCCCACCTCCTGTGTGGTGAAGCACGGCTGCCGTTCCATAAAGCGCACGACAGCCTCAAAGGACGTGGCCGCCTGCTCCCAGGCTGCCTCCTCACCCTCGCCAGCACCTCTCTTTGCCTTTTCTGTATGCCCAGTGGCCTGGGCCAGGGCCACAGAACCACTGGCCTCATCCACCTCCTTCCCAGTCATACCCTGCTCCTCAGCCCTGCTACTCTGAAGCCTGCTGCTGGGACATAACGGCCCTTCCTTCACAAGCTCAAGGATGTGGGCGAAAGCCTTGTTGTGAGGCTTGGTGCTGCAGCATTCGGCCTCCTCCTCAGAGGAGGAGCCTTCGGGGACTGTGACCGTGGGCCACAGCTTCCGCCAGGCCCGCCTGAAGACCTGGCTGGGCACTGCGTTCCAGGCGCAAGCCACATTGACTATGGCATCGTTCACGTGCCGGGTGGGGAAGCCCTGGAGGGCCATAGGAGGGTTGATAAAGAGTCTCATGAAGGCTCTGCGAATGCCCTGCTCCGTGGGCTGCAGTAAGGAGGTCACGCTGGCAGGCAAGAAGATGGTGAAGACATTATCTGACACCAACTCGGACTCCTGCGGATGGGCCCGGGAGTGGTCCAGCAGGAGAATGGCCTTGCTGTCTTCCGGCAAGCCTATGGCTCTGAAGTGCTCTCTCACCGCAGGGACAAAGATGTGATGGAACCAGTCAGAGAAAATCTCCTTGTCCACCCAGGCATTACCCTGGGCCTTGTAAGCAATGGGCAGCTGCTGGATGCCTCTGAAGGCCCTGGGGCCACCACCCTTCCCAACAGCCAAGGGCTTGATTCTGTGGGAGCCTGTGGCATTGGCACACATCAGGACGGTCAGCCTATCTTTGCCCTGTTTGAGGCTGGGCACAGCCCCACCATCCGAGGCGGGATTTGGCAAGCACCTCCAGAAAAGGCCCGTCTCGTCAGCACTGTACACCTGCTCAGGAGACAGCCCATGCTCGGCTGCCAGGCTCCTGAAAAACCCACAGAACTGCTCGGCGGCTTGGTGATCAGCCACCTGCCTCTCGCTGGATGCATCTAACTTTTTAATGCCATGCCTGGCCTTGAAGCGCCAAAGCCACCCCCCAGAGAAGACACAGGGCTCGGTCAGCCGCATCTGTTCATAGAAGTCCTTGGCCTTCTCGATGAGCATGGGGCCGGATACAGGGATGCCCTCGGCACGTTTTACCAGGAACCACTCGTAGAGAACACGGTCCAGGTGCTCGAGCTTGGGGGTGTGCAGGGTCCGCCGCTGCTCCAGCGCCTGGCGGGAGTCTGAGCTGGCAAAGAACCTCAGCAGCTGGGCCTTGTGGGCCTTGATGTCATACAGGGTGGACATGCCCACGTTGTACTCCTGCATCAGCGCCTTCCTGCTCTCACCACGCTCCAGTCGCGTGCAGATGTCAATCTTCTCCTTGAGGGTCAGCACCACCCGCTTCCGTTTCTCCCCCTTGCCCTTTGTTGCAGCCTGTTTGGAGGCCATGGGGGAGGCCAAGCTGGGCTGGGCTGTGCTTGTCCTTCCTGGCCTATGTTCCTCCCTACACTACAGTCTCTTCCTCTCCTCTGTGCCTGCCCACTCTGCTGATCCCAGGCATACACCAAGTTCCTCCTTGGCTCTGCCCTCTGCCCACAGCAGCCTCTTCCCTTTGGTACTGGGGCCCCAGCACACTCAGGCCTCAGCTCCCAGCAATTCAGTCGGCTGCTGTTCCTCTGGAGGAAAGATGACAGGGTCGTGCTGTTCCAAACTGCAGGGCAGAGCTGGGCCCTGGAGCTTTCGCACAGATGCAGGTGGCCAAGCTCCCCTCAAAGTGTCCAGGTTTCAGACTAATGAAGATTTGATGGCCTGAGGTGAGGATATGTCTCCAGGGTCCACAGTGTTGCCACACACACACTTCAGGAACTGGAAAGCAGAGGGGAAAGGGAAATGTTACCAAGAGTGCAAGACGTGCCTAGATTCACCACAAAGTGTCACATGAAATAGTGCACCCAGCCCAGAGCCTGCCGTACATTCTGCCGTCCTGCCCTTGCTCCCTGACTTGGCTCTCAGCTATCTCTGCTCCTCTGGTGTGAGGGCCTGGAGACCATAGAGCCACCAGCACCAGCAACCTTCAGTCTCAGTCCAGAAAAGACAAAGGAGTCACAGTGCATTTCAGACAGCTCCTGCCCCCTCCTTCCTCCCAAAGCCTTGGTCCCCCAGGCCCCCCAATTCCATTTAGAGTGAGGGTGGTATGCACGCTGCCTGCATACATGGTGCAGTGTACTACATGCACCTCACGGTGGAACAGAGGGAAATCAAGGCTACAATCTCTCCCGCAAGGGGATTTTTAATATGAAACCCAAGAGCTGTGGAATCCCACAACTGAGGGTCAGACAAGCTTCCACGAGGCGTCTTGGCTCACAATGGATGTTTCTTGGTGCCTGACCTGCAAATGTGTGTTACAGGGTAGTAGGAGGTGGCTGCAAACACTTCCTTCAGAAATGAAATTCTCCAAAACCAGGTGTGATGGCTCAGGCAGACAGCCTGGGCTACACAGGACCTGCCAGGCCAGTCTGGGCTACAGACTCTGTCTGTATGAAAGAAAAAGAAACGGAATCTATCACTCGTAGTCTAAATGCCACAGCACAAATCCAGGTGGTTTCTAATCTTGGGACTTCAAACAGGGCCAACCCAAAGCCACACCAACAAGGACTTAAAGCAGTACTTTCCTGGGGGAAGAGGCGGTGGACGTGCTCTGGGGCCAGAGCTGGGCAGAGGGCAGATTTCTTGGGAAAGTCCTGAGGAGTTTGGAGGAAGGTTTAAGAAGCTTTCACCCCAGGGCTGGATGACACTCGCACATTCGAGGACTCAACACAGAAATGAGCCGGGCTGGAGCGTCCTGGGGGGAGGACGCTTGTTCTTTTAAAGAGGCAGAAGTCGCCTTTAATCCCACCACTGGGGAGGCAGAGGCAGGCGGATCGCTCGCTGTGAGTTCAAGGCCAGCCTGGTCTACATAGTGAGTTCCAAGACAGCTGGGGCTACCGGGAGACCCTGTCTCAAAAGACCAAACAGAAAAAAAGAGGCGGAAGCATCCGGGACCCCGGGGGAGGCGCCGCGGCGAGGGGGGTCCGCCGGGGAAGTGAGTACGCCGGAGGGGGGGTGAGGAGGGGGTGCGCCGGGGAGGGGTCCGCCGGTCCTGCTCGCGCCCAGGCGGGATCTCCAGGGAGGGCGTGGCGCACACTGGGCGCTCGGAGGGCAGGCCGGTCCCGGGTCTGTTTGCAGCCGCGGTCCTGCCCCGCCCCGGCCCGGCCCCACTCACCTGCGGACCCCGAGAAGCCGCCACTGGCCGGAAATGCCGGCCGAGCCGCTCTCCGCCGGTCCGCTGACCGCTGCCTTCCCTGCGCCACTTCCGGGACGCTCTAGGCCGGCGGGAGGCTTCGGTCTCGGTGGTGCCTGGCTCCCACACCGCGACTGAGCCAGAGGCCCAGACTGGCGGGCTGGATACAGCGCCTCCTAGCGGTGGGAGGCTCCTGGCGCAGGGGGCGCAAGGGGCACAGGGAGCGCAGGGAGCGCAGGGCTTCCCAAGGTCCACTACTTGCCAAGGGCCCCAGTGCCTAATCTAAAAAATAGCTTATTTATTATTTTTATTTTCTGTTGTATGACCACGGAAGTCAGGAAAGGGTGTTGGATCTCCTGGAACTGGACTTACTGATGGTTGTCAGCCATGTGGGAGCTGAGAACTGAACCAGATCCTCTGCAAGAGCGGCCAGTGCTTTTACCCGCGGAGCCATCTCTCCAGCCCCAATGTGTATATTTTTTTTAAAAAAATATTTTTTATTTTATTGTTTTTATTTTATGTGTATGAGAGTATTGCCTCCATGTACGTAAGTGCACCCCTGCCATGCAATGCCCATGGAGGTCAGAAGAGGATGTTGGCTCTCCTGGAACTAGAGTTACAGACTGTTAATAGCTACCAAGTGGGTGCTGGGAACTGACCCTGGTCCTCTGCAAGAGCAGCCAGTGCCCTTAATTGCAAGCCTGCACCCCAGCACCAAGAGTGCCTAATTTAGCCAGTTTTAATGATGAGATTAGCAACGCGGTGCAGCATGGAGGCTCTGGAGGACCCTGAGATGAGGTGAATGCATGTGTCATGTGGAACGCATCTGAATCTTTGGAGACTGGAGGATTGGTGCTGTGGTGAGCTGTGTGGTGACCCCAAGTGTGCCTCAGTCCTAACCCCATGTGCTGGATAGTGTCAACTTGACAAACCTGGGTTGAGGGAGCTCAATTGGGGAATTGCCTCCATTGGACTAGCCGGTGGACATGTGTGTGGGGACATCTTGATTGTTGAGTGCTGTGGGAGGGCCCAGCCCACCCTGGGCAGGTGGGCCTGTGTTGCATAAGAAAGCAGGCTGAGCAGGGGCCAGGGGAGCAAGCCAGTAAGCAGTGTTCCTCCATGGCCTGTGCTTCAGCTCCTGCCCCCAGGTTCCTGCCCTGAGTTCCTACCTTGGGCTCCCTGATGAACTGTGACCTGGGAGATGTAAGCGGAATAAGCCCTTTCCTCCACAAGTTGGTCTTGGTCAGAATGTTTTGTCATAGCAATGGAGAAACAAACTAGGATACACCATGACCTACATGCACTGGCACAGCAAAAGGGACTTGCCAGATGTGACCAAGTGAAAGTCCTTAAAATGGGAAGCTCATTTCAATTGCCTGAGTGACCCAGAGTGATCACAACGACCTTTTGTAAAAGGATCAAGTGTGGGCGGGGGGGGGGTGCAGTGGCATGCGTGCAACCCTGGAAGGCAGAGGCAGGTGGATCTCTGAGAAATTGAGACTAGCGTCCTCTACATAGTGAGTTCCAGACCAGCTGGGACTTCAGGGAGACACAGTCTCAAAAAACTTTAAAAAAGAATCAAGTGTGAGAAGAGGGGGCGACAGGGAAGCTGTGCCCTGGACAGAGCAGGGTCCAGCCAAGAAGTGCAGGTGGCTTACAGGAGCTGCTAACGCCAGGGAACGCAGCCACGCTGACACCTTGATCTCAGCTCCCTAAAGCTCAGATCGGTCCTCTGGCCTACAGAAGTGTGAGATAATAGATCTGTGATGTTTCAGACCTCCACACTGACCACTGCAGCCACCTCACCAGCCAGACTTTCCATTTCTACTTAGCTGGAGTGGCCTTGGAGAGGGGTCAGTCTGGGTAAATGACTCTTCTACCCATGGTCTGGCTTACTATGACCATCTCCCTCCAGAAATTTGTTATTGGAAACTTGCCCCTCCTTAATTCACACCCCTCCCTTGACTCCCAGACCACCTATGGCTGGTTCTCTCACCCTCCCTTACTGGATCCTAGACTACTTTGCTCTATATAGGCACACTTCCTGGGGAATCTCCAGTACCAGAGCTCTCACACCAGGGAAGGCTGGTCTCCTTCCAGGGGCCCTCCCCTGACATCCACACTACTGTCTCCTGTCACAGCCATCCACACACAAAAAACCACAGCATGACCAAGATTGAGCTCTGGAGCCTGTTGACCACTGAAGGTCACCCTGAACTCTCCCTCACACCCCACATCCAATTAATCACTTGATTGGTCCTGCCCACAGAATCAGTCCCTTGGACTTTCTCCTTGTCCTCCAGCTGCCTGACCCCTGGTCTAAGCCCTGGCCATTTGTCATCTCCTGCCTGGTCTCTTGGCTTCTGCCCTCACCTCTGTCAGCTGTTACTGCTGCACTGTGAACCATCCCAAAACTGACTTGGAACGGCCACCATCCTGCAGCACATGACTCTGTGGGTTAGGAGGTTGCATGTTGGAATTACATTTGTGTACTACTGGAGGAAACTGAGTCACATAAGATACTCAGCACATCGTGTGAATGGAACCAGGACCCTTGGAAGTGCCCCCAAGGAAGTTTTCTGGACTCTCCTAGGATGGGTGGCCCTATCCCTGTGTGGCTCTCTCCTGCCGCCTTGTGGACCTGGGATCACATACTCCTCCCGGGGCTCGCTGACAGAAGGGCTTGCATGATTCTAGGACTTGTCTCAAGGCCAGAGTTCCCTCTGGCAGTGGGGAGGGGGTCAGAAAGAGAGGAAGACCAGTGCCCCTTGGATGAGAAACTCAAAGCTCCCCTCTGCAGGCCCCACCCCTAATCCACAGAGTTAAGCCCTTGAGCCCAGACGTGGACCACTGCAGCCACCTCACCAGCCAGACTTGCCATCTCTACTTAGCTGGAGTGGCCTTGGAGAGGGGTCAGTCTGGGTAAATGACTCTTCTACACATGGTCTGGCTTACTATGACCATCTCCCAAATGTGGGAAATGGGAAGGAAATGTATGGTCTTTTCTAGCATAGGGTTAAGTAAGACAAGACTTCATTTTAAAAATTGTGAAGAAGCCACTTGGCAGAAATTCAAATTCCTCCTGGGTCAGCACTTCATGAGGTCAAAATAGGTGTTCAAGGTTGTGCCAGATGCTAAAAACTGCATTCTGCTTATTGATTGCTTTAAGTCAGCCAATCCAGTAGGAGTGTGGGCTGAGCTCTGAATACTCATTGAGGTGCAGGACCCCTTTACTAAAGGAATAAAAGCCAGGCGGCAACCCTGCAGTGTGTGCGTACCTGCTCTGTTTAACATGGCTACACACCCTTTCACAGAAGTAAAACTTTCTGCCTTGCTGAAATACTTTGGATTTCGTGTCATCTTCTGGAAACCCCAGACCTATTTCTTACACGAGCCCCTTGACCATCTCCACAAGGCTTTCCCCTCTACCTGCAGCCCTTGCCTGGAGGGGACCTGAACCCCAGGGGTGCCCCTTACTCAGGTGCAGAAATCAATCACCAGCCTGTGCCTTCTCCCCACATGGTCTCAGGTTTCCTTGGCTCACTGACTTGTCTCTAGGACGGTGGAGTGGGAGCAAAGGGCAGGAAAAGACAGACACATCAGTGACAGACACGTGCAGAAGGGTCATGGGGGTTAGAGCTGGGGCATGTCCTGAGATGTAGCAGGGTCTGTGGGGCTGCAGGTCACCCAGCCTACTGCCCAAGGGGCACTCTAGGGACCCATCCCCAAACACTCACATTTGCAAATATGTTCACACTCACAAGGCACAGGTTTCCACCCCGTCACACCAACATATCACACACAGAGCTCATAAGATGTGACTTTAACTTCCAGGATCCAATATGGGAACCTGAGTGAGAGAGGACACCCAGATCCCCAGCAGCCTGGCTGTACATAGGTCACATCCTGACCCACAGGGGCATGTTTCCACAGGAGATGTGGGGCATAAACAGAAGTCAGTTGCGGCTTTCTAACTTTGTAACATGCTGTCTTTACTTTTAAAAAGTTACTTCTGTGTGAAATTACAAATTCACCCAACTATGATGTGCATCCAAGCAGGGGATCATGTGGTGGCCCAACCTGGGAGGACTCAGGGATCCAGTGGTTTGAGAGTCCAAACCCAGGGTATGGTGGCTCCTTCACTATGTGACCAGGCGGGCTCTCTGGGGAGTGTGGTGGGCTGCAATGGGGAGATGGAAGACACGGAAAAACAGGAAAAACTGGAGTCTCAGGAAGTGGACCGAGATTAAGGGTGAGTCATGTCAAGAGCACACCCAGACCACGTCCACTCACAAAGGGACTTGGAGGAAGGGCGCCTTTTGTGACAGACCTTCCCAGGAAGCAATTTCTAAGCTTAGCTCCGACTCAGAGGTTGGTCTCTGTGCATATCCAGAGCATGAACGGCAACCAGCAGGGATCAGCCTGGCAGGTTCAGAGCTTAGAGCAGAACAAGATCAGAGCTCGTAGTGCAACCAGGATCTGGCTCAGTGTATGATCAGGATCAGGACTCAGTATATGATCAGGGTTAGGGGTCACAGTGAGACCAGGATCAAGACTCAAGACAGGATCAGGTCTCACCATGGAATCAGGCTCAGGTTCATTATGTGACCAGGACCAGAGCTCAGTGTGTGAGCAGACTCAAAACTCAGAGTGTGACAAGGGTCAGGGCTCAGCATGTGATCAGAATTAGGCTCATGTGTGAGCAGGGTTAGAGAACCAGGGTCAGAGTTCAGACTAGCCAGAGTGAGTATTCAGTGTTGGGTTGAGGTCACGGCTGGGCCTGTGGTCATGGGTGTGGCTGTTGAAGTCATAGTCATGGTCTTTGATATTTGAACTGAGGCCACTGAGCCACCTTTTGACTAAAGCACCCACCCTAGGTACCACTGGCATTTGGGGCCAGTGATTCAGCAAGGGGATGGCACTGCAGGGTGTTGAGCAGATCTTGGCCCGGGCCTACTATACCTGGCAAGACCCTGCCCCACTGTGTTGAGACGACCAAAACTCTAGGCATTGATTGTGGGGTGGAGGACTCGCTCCGTTTGAGAACTACTGCTTTAGAGCATTCATTTCAGATCAAACTTGATCAGCAAATATTTACACACCTGTAAATATTTGGAGAATGAATGTTCTAGCTGGTGCTGGGTGCTGGTGCCTCCAGTGCTGAGACAGATAAGCAAGGCCTGCTCAGGGGCAGCAGTTCGGGTGGGTGGGGACAGGCAGGCAGCCACACACGGACAGAGCCGAGCTTCGGGCACCTCTGAGGGCAGCACCCACCGCACGGGCTGGCAACCTCTGGCCGGAGGGGATGTTCCAGGAGGAAGTTTCAGTTGGGCAGGGAGCAGGAAGGTATCCCAGGGAGGGCCCCCTCATCCTGTGTGACCTTGAGCAAGATCCTGCCTCTCTCTGACCCCAGGCTCTTCACTACTAAAGGAGAATTTCCAGGGAAAAGAAATCAGCCCAGGAGTGCTAGGAGAGATCACAGAGGGCCTGGGGTTGCCAGGTAGAGTCCACAGGCCAGAGCCGTCTGGCTACAAGTTACCCTGACCCCCGTCAGCTAAGTCATCTCAATCCAGGACTTGGGTACCTCCTAGGAGCTGCTGTGCCCAGGCCCAGGGCATATGGGCTTCTGGACTTCCTAGACTGTCCAGGTATGCTCAGGCTGATTCCCTGAGGCCAGAGGGGAACATTCAACACCCTCTCAGTCCTCCAATGCCAGGCTGTTTTCAGGGAACCTTGAGCGTGGAATAGGAGTGGTCAGGGGTCCCTCTTCAAGGACAAGAAAACATCAGGGAGCACTGTTCCCAGTGCTGGGCAGTGGGCAGTAGCCGTGACCAGCGTTTTTATGTGCCACCATCTGACCACAACACCTATGCTCAGCAGCTGGGAGAGCCTGGCAGAGGGACAGTGAATGCAGCTGGGTCTAAATACCAGGTAACAAATACCACTAATCACCCCAGAGTCACCAGCAGTAGGAAGCTATGGATCCCTGGGCCTGAGGGACAAATGGAAAGTGTGACAAGAGCTGGCTGGGGAAGTCTGACCCACAAGGACCTGTGGCCTCTGCTAAAGAGAGGCAGCCATTGCCACATAGCCCAACAGTGAGGGTGGCAGAGGGAGAGGTGGCTTGACCTCTGCCCAGAGTAGTGTGAAGAGTGGGTCTGAGGACAGCAGGGCCATCCACCTGGTACCCAGGCACCCTGCTCCGTCTTCCCTGGGAACATTTCTGGAAGCTGTGTTTCCTGACTCCCTTGCAGCTCGAGTTCCAAGTTGGAAGGATTAAACAAGATCCTGAGGATAAACCCTTCAGCCCAGGGCCTGGAACACTCTGAGTTCTCTAGAACCTGAGCTTACAGCTATGGGGGCTCCCCACTGGCCCTCAAATCCCCTACCCTGGGCCAAGGCAGCCCCAGGAGAGCCCAAGTAAGGGCTCTTGTCTCCTAGCAGTCAGTCATTGCCATTTGCAATGCTATTCTGGCTGGTGCCCTTCAACCAAAACCTGTATTCCCAGGAGGTGTGGGTCCTGGGAGGGCAGCACAGCTTTGGAACAGAGCACAGGGGCCCCAAGGATGTGCCCTTGTCCTCTGCCAGGGAGAGGATGGCCTCAAGAAAGTGGTGTTCCCAAACTGGCTTCACTCTCTGAGAAGAGCAGACACAGTGTGGGCACGTTAGGACTTTCTAGGCCTTGTTCTGGGGGTGGCTGAGAAAGGGCCTCCAGCAGGAACGGTAGCCCCACCCTAGGAAGGCTGTACCCTCCAGAGACAGAAAGGGCAAGGCAGTAGGAGGTGTGGTGTAGGAAATCAGAGATTGGAATGGCTGCAGCCCTGGATTCTCACTGGCTCCGGGGAGCCCGTCACTGTTGGCTGTGGGCAGCAGAACCTCCCCTGCCCACTGAAGCCATATAAAGCCTCTGGAGGCATACTGCTGTGCATTTGTGATCATGAAGGCTGTCCTCTTTGCTCTGCTGGCCACCAGCCTGGCCTTGCAGCCAGGTAAGCCTCATCCAGCCACAGAGTAAGGGTGCAGGAGAGCGGTCAGAGGGGACCCTGAGGGGCAGATAGACCTGGAGGAGGACAAGGAAAGAGAAAGCCCAGGAAGGAAGGGCAGCTTCGGGAAGCCCAGGAGGTGGTGCGGCTCTGCTTCCTGTGAGAGGTAGGCTCTGAAGGACAGAAGGGTTCCCAGAAAGGTCAAAGATGGGCAGACTCACAAGACTACTGACCTTCGAGGCCCAGGGCTGAAAAGTCTCAAGCCGAGACATGCCTTGGGAGGAAGAAGGGGGGATGGAGTAAGAAAAGATACTCAGGATGTCTTGACAGGAGACCCGAGGGTCCAGCCCTGGTCCAGCCTTGGCTTCTGCTGCCTCCAGGGTGTGGGTTCATTGAGGCGGACAATCTGTGATATTCTCTGCTGTGCTCGACCCTTCCATCTAGTGACCATGGGGAGGTCACCACACTCTCAGAATCTCCACTTCCTCGTCTAGATAGTATGGTATCGTGAGGGCTGTCTGCAGGCCCCTGGAGACCTAAGCAGGGCAAAGTGTGGGGCCACTGAAGGCAAGTGCCAGGCACTGCTCCCCCAGGTGTGGCTTGAGCTCCAGCTTTGTCATTTTTTGGAAAGAAGACTTAATTAGTAAGTCCTGGCGTCTGGGCTGCCTGGGCCCGGGGACTCTCCTATTACCGCACAGCAAGGTGAAGGCCTGGGAGGGGCCAAGAAGCAGTCTGGGCAGAGGGAACAAACACAGGTGGACCACAGTGCCTGTGGCATAAGGAAGTCAGGGCAGTACCTCTCTGTACCCACCTCTACCCTAGCACCCAGCTGGGCATCTCCCAGTTGTGGCCAGTCACTGGGGCCTGTCACTCCCTCTTTCAGAGTTCATAGGCACTTAAACAGTGCGGTGTGTGAGAGGTCTGGACCTCTCTCTGCACTCTGTGTGATGATGAGTGGCCAGCAGGCCTCCCTCCCAGCAGAGCCTCAGCCCCCATCCTGGCCCACAGGTGCCGCCCTGCAGTGCTACTCCTGCACTGCCCAGGTGAGCAACAATGACTGCCTGAATGTGCAGAACTGCTCCCAGGACCAGAACAGCTGCTGGACGTCGCGAGTCCGTGAGTGTCCGCTGCCCCGCCTGCTGCCCTGCCGCCCCACTATCTGCTTCCTCGGCCTCCCTCTCGTCTCCTGGCAGGCACCCAAGGACCTGGACTTGGTCTCTGCCTCAGTTCTTCCTGTCCTGCTCACCTGTTCATCTAACTGCATTCCTACTCAGCCTTCCAGAAACCCATCCCCACCCCTCCCCACACCCATTCACTCCTCCCCTGCTCACTTACGTACCATCGTTTCTGGTGCTCAATGGAGTGGGTCTGGAGCTTCCCTGCACTCAGGAAGGGCGGACCAGGGGCCGGGAGGTGAGTATCAGGACCTGGCCTTCATCCAGCGATCGCCATATCCTGCCAGGTGCCATTGGGCTTGTGAAGGTCATCAGTAAGGGCTGCAGCTCAAATTGTATGGACGACTCGGAGAACTACTACTTGGGCAAGAAGAATGTCACGTGCTGCTACACTGACCTGTGCAATGTCAGCGGGGCCCACACCCTGCAGCCAGCCACTGCCCTGGGGCTGCTCACTGCCCTTGGTAGCCTGCTGCTGTGGGGCTGTAGACATTAGTAGGTACCAAGAGGGCCCTACTACTGCACCCTAGAATAGGCAGGGATGCCCAGGGCCCCGCCAACTCCAGTTTAGGCCTCCTCTGGTCCCCACAGGTGTGTGATGACATGGAGCTGGCCCTGGCCCTGCCCCTGCCCAGGTTTCCCTTCAGCCTCCCACCTCCCTGCCACAGCCCAAGGCTGCTATTTCCACAGCTGGCATTTTGTCCCATCATCGGCATTCCATCCCGCCAGCTCCACTCGGGTGCCTCTGCCGCAGGACAGACACCCTTGCCATCCTCCCCTTCGGGAGCTGAGCCAAACTGCATGGCAGCATGTGGTGAGGGCCGGGTGGGGGCTGAGTAGAGGTGAGGTCGGCATGTTGGTGTGAGGTCTTGGGAGTCCTAATAGATGAGGCTTTGGAGTGGGGTGGGGCTTGGTCCATGTTCATGGCATGCCAGAGCACAGTGGGCCTGTAATAAATGCCTTTTGGGTGAGTTGGAGTCTCCGTTCTTATTCAGTCCACAGTGTGCCTGGGTACCACCTGCAGCAAGTCTTTCAAGGGCAACGGGCATTCCCTTGACTATAGGGACTGGAGCCCTGGCAGGAGCAATCTGCACCTGGCACCAGGTGGAACAGCATCTCTTGGGACACCCAACCCTTGCTGTGCAGACTCAGGAACCTTCTCTGGGGGCCTGGGTGCTCCTGTGCAGCCCTCCGTGTGTGAGGATGAGCCAGCGCTTCCGCAAAGAGGGTCCCCTGGGAAGAAGCGTGTCCTATGCATGCTGCAGGCCCATTGTAAATACTCTCATGTGGCAAAAGGGTCTCCAGGGGCAGGCTGTGAGATGCCCCCACCCACACCAGGTCTAGCCCACATGCAGGTTTCAAGGCTGTCCCCTGAGCTCCTTGAGTCTGTGCCATGCCAGTGGTGGCTTGGGGGTCTACAAGAGGACAGGCCCAGCCTTCCCATTCCTGGAAAAACCCTTTTAAAGGCAGTCTTATACCCAGGGGACAGCCTAGACCTTGGGTGGGGACCTCACAGAATGGCATTTGGGGAGCATAGGAAACACAGAGGGTCAGTGAAGGGAACAGCCGAGTCACCCATGTTGTGTGCTAACCAGGGTCAGAACCTGGGTCCTGGAGCTCATTGGTGACAGTGGGAGCTCAGCAGTCAGTGGGACAAGGGTCATGCCTTATGGGTGAGCCTGGCCAGATGCCCCAGGGATCTCTTCTAAGCTGGTGGCTAACCTGTGTGTCCTCAGGTAGGAGGCCTCCCTCTTGACCCTGGGTTAAGGGGAGCATATCATGGGGGTAAAGTTTTCCAAGGCCATCATCCTAATGACCCTGAGTGCTGACTGTACCCTCTTTTGTCCAGCCCTACCCAGTATTTTGCCTTCTTTCTCTGAGGGAGCTGGTGCTCCAGGCCCCACCAACTGACCCTCTCTGGGGCAGGCTCTAGGGGGCCCCATGCTTTCAGGTGGACACTGCAGACCTGGGGTCTCCCAGCAGAACCTCACATCTACCAGGACTCAGGGCCAACAGAGGCCGCAGGGCAACAAGGCTTGGGGCAGAGCTTCTGAAAGCACTGTCTTCAGAACTGGTTCAGGATTGCTGCCTGCCTCGTGATTGTTAGGTCAAGATGTGGGGCGCTGGACCCCGCCCTGCTCCATCTACTCTGCGGTTGTGGGACTTGCTAGGTTCCAAGTGCTGTTCCTGGTCCACCACATGTGGCAAGCCACCCAGGCTTGGCTGGGTTCTCCTTGAACTCTCTAGGCCCCCTCCAGGGCATGGAGCCAACAGAACATCAGACACACATGAAGAAGAGAGATAGTAAAGGCGTGTAGTCTGTCTGTGACAAGAGCTGGAAAACAAAGAGGAAGCTGGAGGTGAGGGCTTGTTGGGAAGACCGTCCTCACTGGACTCAGCCCACACATCAGCCCCTCCCCCCAGGCGGAGGCATCTTTTCCTCGCCACTGGTGACCACTAGGTCCAGCAGGCCAGAGGTGCCAGGGGACAGAGGGACAAAGGACCTTCATACCCTGTCCTGGGGGCTTCTTTTTTTATTATTTTTATTGTATGTTTATTAATGTTTTGCCTGTCTGTATGTAAGTGCACCCATGTCGTGCATAGCCCGTGGAGGCCCGAAGGTATGAGATCCCCTGGAACTGGAGTTGGGCGCTAGGAATCAAACTTAAGTCCTCTGGAAGAGCAGTCACTGCTCCTAACCACTGAGCCATCTCTCCAGACCCCTGAGAACTTCTTAAAATGAATTATTTGGTCTAGGGTAAGGGGAAAGGGGGAAGGCAGAAGGTGCCTTAAGGGGTGGGAGGTGCGGCTGGGTCCTGGCTGCCAAGACCAAGCCTGTGATCTGGGATGGGTCTGTAACTCCCTCCTAACTACAGCTACCGCCACCGTGGCACCTTTCACCCAGCAGGGCAGAGCCAGAGAATAGGACTGGTCCAGAGTTAGGTGAGGCAGAGCCTAGGGCACGCCCTCCTGCTGGGGCAGATGCTGATGCCCTGGGCCTGCTCCTCCTAGTGGTCAGACCTCAAGCCCAGGCAATGGCCATTAGAACTTTGATTACCAACCTCTGGTGGTGATGCAGGACCCTACAGAACACACGGGAACCGCTGAGGTACCAAAGTTCCTGGAGGACCCCTGCTTGAGTTTCCTGTACCTGACAGAAAGGTCCACTAGCTCCCACTGGACAGCCCAGGCAGGCAGAGGGAGGGGCTTCCCAGGTTGACCAGGCAGGACTCTCTTTTAGTCCCCTGATGAAGTGCCAGTGGTGATCCATCCCAAATTGTCTGCACATATTGTGAGAAACCCACAGGATAGGACCATAGAGGGCAGTAAGGCGTCAATGTATGGAGCAACCTGTGGCCCCATATCACCCACATCCGTAGACACGCGGTTGTGTATGCAAAGAGGCCCTTGCCCTACGTTCTAGCCGGGAGACTGGCATCCCCTGCTTTTGTGTCAAACTGCAGTGAAATGTGCTTTCAAGAGGAGCACCGTGGGGATCTGCCCAGGCTGGGGTCGGAGAAGGGAAAATGGAAGGAGAGAACAGTGTGTGGGTGCGTGGGAAGCAGAGCGGCTCAGAATAGAGCAGGGCGGCAGGAGCAGAGGAGGCCCAGAAGGTGGGCACAGGTGTTGCAAGCTCCCAGACGGCTCTCACTCACCAACCTTCCTGTCTCAAGGGCCTGGCCACCAGTGGAGCTTCTCTTCCTTGGAAGCACGAGGCGTAGTGGTAACAGGTGACAGAAGGTAACAGAAGGCCATTCCCTCAGCAAGGAGCTCAAAGGACACCTTGTCGCTTCCTCCAGAGGGGCTGCCCCTCCCTGCCCCAGGGTTCAGAACTGAGCTAGGACAAGATGGGTGTTGGAAGCAGAAGCCACGTGTGGAGAAGACTCTTCTTAAGGTCAGCTGGAGCTGCCATGATGAGTGAGCTCCCTGTCTCTTGGAGTACCCAAGTAGACCCCAGGGAACCCCACTGTACCATAGCTCAAGTGGCTTGCTTCAGAGGCAAAACCCAAAATGTAAGGAATGCTGCTCTAGGCAGAAGCCAAGGCAGACCTGCCCACGCCAGCACAGGCCAGGGGAGGGGCTGCCTAGGCTATCTGTGATGTAATCACCAGAAATGCTGCCTCCAGGGTGATCAGGACCTCTGCAACCACAGCTCAGACCCAGTACAAGGCCAACGCACCACCGAGGCCCTATGGACCCTTCTGGGCCCCCATAGGGCTCTGGAACATCACCAGTCCACCCCAGAGACCGCCAGTCCACCTATCCCTGGCCTTCATGCAGACTCAAGGGACAAGCCTCACTTGCATACAGAGTCACCACAGAGCCCTGGAGGCTACAGAGAGCCAGTTGTACCTTCCCAGGAGCTCTTCCTGACCTTTTAAAGAAAACGGACTGACACTCCACATGCACTCCATACCCAGACCCAGCACCTTTGGCCTGGTGGTTGAGATGTTTACATTCACATCCTAGACCCCTACCAACCCTGCCCACTTCTGCCCCTCCATCTTGGATGCTACTTTGCATTAAAAGGGGGTCTAAAGGGTGGCCATTCTTGGGACGGGCTGGGGTGATCAGGATCTTTGGTGGGTAGGGGGTGAGGGGCAGAGAACAAGTAATGAGGTTGTTTGTAGACTGTGGCTGAAATGCACGCCGGAAGCTGGATCCAATTCGCTCAAACCCACCACCAACGCCCTCCCCACCCCACCCCCCAGGGGCCCCGCGAATCCTAAAACAGGCACGTGGGTTTCGGGCAGCCCAGCAGCAGTGCCGCTGAGGACGCTCTGTGTCCATTTCCTTGCAAAGTTCCTCAGTCTCCCTTTCCACCACCCCTGGAAGTTCCGGAATCTTCAGCCTCTCTGAGATGGGGAGCTGCGTCCATGCACCAGGGATACCGGTTGGACAGACACTGCAGGTGTCCATCATCCCGGCGCCTGCAGCGCCGAGTGCGGCCTCCAGGTGTCGCTGTGGCGCCCGGCCCCGCCCCGGGAAACCGAAAGCGGAGCCGGCAGGGGACCGGGACCGACCACCGAGGGCGCGGGGGTGTCCGGGAGCCGTGCGCGGGGCTCCGGCCTGCGGTGCGCGCGGCTTCCGGCGCGCCTCCCCCTCGGGCGGCACGGCGAGGTGGTGCGCTCCCGTGCCCGGCGCTCCCCGGCTCCGGGCCGGACCGCCGGCTCCTTGCACCCCGCGTCCGCCGCCGCCGCCGCGATGCTGGCGCTGCTGCTGGCGTCGCTGAGCCTGGCGCTCGCCTTCTTCGCGCTGCTGGACGGCTGGTACCTGGTGCGCGTGCCGTGCGCCGTGCTGCGCGCGCGCCTGCTGCAGCCGCGTGTCCGCGACCTGCTGGCGGAGCAGCGCTACGCGGGCCGGGTGCTGCCCTCCGACCTGGACCTGCTGCTGCACATGAACAACGCGCGCTACCTGCGCGAGGCCGACGTAGCGCGCGCCGCGCACCTGACCCGCTGCGGGGTACTCGGGGCGCTGCGCGAGCTGGGGGCGCACGCCGTGCTGGCCGCCTCGTGCGCGCGCTACCGCAGGGAGCTGCGCCTGTTCGAGGCCTTCGAGGTGCGCACCCGCCTGCTGGGCTGGGACGACCGCGCCTTTTACGTGGAGGCGCGCTTTGTCAGCCTGAGGGACGGTTTCGTGTGCGCCTTGCTACGCTCCCGGCAGCACGTGCTGGGCACCTCGCCGGACCGCGTCGTGCAGCACTTGTGCAAGCGCAGGGTGAGCAGCCCCACCCGGGTGCCTCTCCGGCGTGCACCTCTTTGAAGTGGTGGATCTGGCCTTGCACCTGCCTCTCTTGCTCTTTTTGGGGGGTCCTGGACTGCCCCCGCTGGTGCCCTTCTCAGGATCCCCAGCATTTAAGATTTAAAGGTTTATAGTCAGGCTTAGCCATTTCTGAACCTGCCCCCCCAGCCCCGCCCCTCTTCTAGAAGTGAGATACTCAGACCAGGTCTCTACCGTCCAGGAGTCTGAGTCTTTGGTGCTCTGTGGGCTGGAGTGCTGAGTCACCCACTCTGGTCTTTGGTTTTAAGCATGGGTTTGAGGATGGTCAATTAGAAGCAGTTGCTGGGAATTGTAGACGACCTGAGGCACAGCTTGGAGCCAGTGGCTGTGTCCCAGTGTCCTCAGCGTGAGGCTGGACTGACCCCCCCAGAGGACCACAGCATTCTAGGAGAGAGGAGGGTCCTGTGCCTGCTGAGGCTCAAGGCTGCTCCCCAGGGCCCACTCCTCCAGCACGGTGGCAGAGTCAGCTGCTGCAGCATGGCAACCAGGACCCTGGGGACAGCTAGGGCAGTGATGGTTGCCAGGGCAGGATCCTGAAGGCTGCCAGGGCAAGTCCCACCACTGATCTGCCCTCTCTAGTCCAGACAGGTAGCTCCAGAGCACAGAAATGACCGGCAGTGCCAAGGGTCTGTATCTGAAGGGGAAACAGGCTCAGAGTGATGTTAGCTGCCGGCTTAAGATGCACAATTGATCACAGGCACAGTTCCCTGACTTTCTGTCTTTGTTGAGTCATAGCCCTATTGGGACCGGTTGGTACGGTGCATGTGAGGGGCAAGGGAACTCGTGGGATGCAGCCGCAGTACAGCAATGATAGTTGCTGGGAACTGGCATACGAGGCAACCCAGCCTAGCTGGAATGCCTGCAGGTGCCCCGGAGTCACCCTGGTTACTAAGCTGCATTTCAGGTTGGCTTGAGTCCCAGGCAAAGACAGATGTGGTTGATAAAGACTGAGTCTAGTGTTGGGGCCCTGTAAGCTTGAGAGGCTCCTGTGGTGCCATGTGCTAGAGGGGGTGGTCTTGAGAACAGAGCCCAGCCTGGCCCAGACTAGCCCTGTAGGCCAGCAGTTCCCATTTGGTGCGTGGCACTCACCAAGAGGCAAGGTAGGCATCTGTTCAGTCTCTCCCCTCACCCCAGCAGCCCTCAGCACTCATAGGGAAGGCCTCACAGTCAGCCCTGTCTGGCACTTTCCTGGAGGAGTGCCTCCTCACACCCTGCTCCACATCCTGCTTTGCCCCAGCTAGTTGGTGGCTTGTCAATCTCCAACCAGCCAACCTGGTTCTGGGGACACAGGCCTCAAGCATGGTCCTGCTGAGGAGGCCTGGCAGAAATAGGTTGGGTGGAAAGACCTAGGAAGGAGGAAACAGGAACTTAAAAGGGACTAGGAAGACTCTGGGTGGGTGTCATGGGGGGGGGTGGACACAACTCCTGGAAGGTCATAGACTGGGACATGGTATGGGCAGAGGCCCAGAGGTGGGAGGGCAGCAGTCTGACTGGTTGCCCCCTTGCTGTGCCTGTCCCCTACTACTACCACAACGGCAGGTGGCTTATGGGAGCCTCAACTTCCTGTTCCCCTGCAGGTGGAGCCCCCTGAGCTGCCAGAAGACATAAAGCATTGGATCACCTACAATGAGACCAGCAGCCAGCTGCTTCGGGCTGAGAGTGGGCTCAGTGATGCCAGAAAGGACCAGTGACTGCCTGTACCCTCCCTGCCCTGCCTGTCAGCCAGTCCGTTGCACAGAATGGGTCACCCGGGCTGGGCTCCTAGCCAGAGTGGCCTTGGGACCCCCCTTCACCTGCTTGGCCCCCTCCCCCTGTGCTCACCCCATGCTGGGTGACATTGTTGTCCTGGCCCAGCTCTGCCTCCTGGTCCCTGTAGCTAGAGTGCTCCAGTGTGCCCAGATGAGCAGGAGCCTGGAGCAGAGGAGCCAGCAAGGGGAGCCTGAGCATGGAGCCTAAACTCAAAGCTGCTTGTGACCAGGCTTGTGGCTGGGGCCCTCACAGGCTGGCTCCAGGGCTTATACCTTACTCAGGAACAGTGGACCCTCTGGAGAGTCACCTTACAGCAGGGAAGACAGGCCAGGACCAGCCCGAGGGCCCCTGAAAACCAAAGGCCAAGTGGAAACAGCCCTCAGCCCAAGCTCTGGTGATACCTTCTGCTCTATGAGGATGTGCCCTATCCAGCCAGGTCACTGAGGCCAGGAGCCCTAGGTGTGGGGGTCCATGACTGTGGCCAGCACCTGTCCTGTCAGCTCAGGGAGAGGACAGCATCTGGAAGCCAGGAACCGCCTCCGTGCTACCTCTCTGGGAGCTACACCTGGAGCCAGAGCCAAAGGCTTCAGTGATGCCCTTGACCCTCGCCTGCTCTGCCCTCCACCCCCCACGCTCTTCTGCTTGCCTTAGTGCTGTCACGGGGAAGCTGCAATCTGCTTTATTTAAAGAAAGGACAAGATTAAAGAGTTTTAAAGGCGTGTGTGCTGGGAAGGCTCTCCTTTCTGCAGACACCCCTGCCAGGCCCACCCACTCGCCAGATACGTCTTCTGGAGGGGCATGTGTGTTGGGGGGTGGCCGTGCTTGTGGGCTGCTGTTACCTTAGAGCCAAGCCTGGTGAGTCGTAGAATTGAGGCCAGGAAGGAGCTATCTAGAGCCCCAACTGGCCTTCCTACCCTGGCCTCCCTCTTATCTACCCCCAGCCTATGAACCTCATAGCCCTAGTCGCCTGTGCCTGGCCCAAGTTTTCTGTTTCCTTCTTGGAGACCTGGGGGGTGCAGAGAGCACAGGGCTATTCCTCTGCCCTTCTTGGGTGGGGCAAGTAAGATCCTTAGGACTTAAAGCAGGTGCGGGGGTGGGGTCTGCTCTACCCAGCAGGATCCAGAGGTCTGAAGGCTTGGGGAGTGGTGGGCAATTGGAAGCAAGGACCCAGCAGTTGGGGCAGGGGGTGGAGAGATTGCCCAGCCAGCCAGCCACAGCTGGGGAGACCTGTCCCACACCCCTGCCTTTTCTACCTCCCACCTTTCCTCTGCCTGAACCTGTAGGCACCTGGGTGGCAGCTCAGTACCTTCTAACCTAAGGGGAAGGGTTTTGCTCTTTCAGGGCTCAGTGGGGTAAAGAGCAGGACACAGGCAGAGAGAAAAGGACCAGGGCCAATTGAGGGGGCCCTTGGGAGGGCATGTGGCTGGCTTACGGCAAATGTCCAAGCACTGCCAGACAGGACAAATTTGCATTGGAACACCAAATACAAAGTGTTGGGAACAGGGCATGGCGCTTGGGTCTTGTTTAGCACCACGTAAGATTGCCCTTCCCTGGTCTCCAGCTCACTGCTGCCTCCAGGGTTGGAGGGACACCTGGCCTGGGTGAGGAGTGCCTGACTTAGTGACCTAGGAGTAGTGTAGTCGTGTATGCATGGGCGGGCTTCAAGGTCAACCATGGACCAAGGAGTAAAATGGAGTCCCTGTTGTCCAGAGGACCAGGCAGCTGAGCTTAGCTTGTGGCCCTGCGGCCTGACCTCACTAACACAGTGCCCAGGCCCCGAAGGTGTTGAGCTGGGGCTCCCCTGTCACCCCTAAGACCTTGCATCAGGCTTAGGCAACAAGGGCTCTCCCATCTCCGCCTCCTCCTAGGCTCTGAAGAATGTCAAGGCAGTGCTACTCCAGCAGGGGGCCACAACTGCTCAGCCTCCTGGTGAAGAGGTAGCCCTGGCCTCTTGCCTCCTAATCCTGAGCTTAGTGGGGCTCTGAAGTCCAGCCACAAAGCAGGAGACTGGTCCTAAAGAGGAAAGTGCAGGTCTGGAAAGGGCCCAGCAGGGATAACTTAGGAGGCCAGACTGCTGTCTGCCCAGGATGTTGGCTCCTGGGGTGGAGAGACTGGGGGATCCAGTCACTGTCCTGGTTATTCCCCTGTGCACCTGTCTGCTGCCTTTACATCACCTAACTCAGCGGCCCTAGTCGGCCCTAGTCGCCAGTAGGCCCCGGGGCCATGGCCTCCTAGCAGAAAGAAACCAGGAAGTGCTTGGTGATGGGAACTTTGTCATGGAGAGGGGCACTTGGGCCCAGATCACCCATAACTACCACTTGCCTCACTGAGGGCAGAGCCCTGTGGAGGGGACATTTGGAGGCCATACTAGGTAGGGAAAGCCCCAGCTGTATGAGGGAATGGGCAGACCATTTTAAGAGGGAAATGACTGAGGCCCACAAAGACGGAATACCCCCAAAAAGCCAGGGCAGGAAAGCAGGCTGCTGAGCTGCTCACTGTGCTGTCCTTTTGATGGGACAGAACCACCCACTCCTGGAAGCAACTGAATCCCAACTCTGAGCTTCCTTTTGGGAGCAGGATAATTTTCAGGGTTTCGGGAGATTGCTGGGGGACAGGCCCGCCCTGGCCGGAAATGTGGTAGTTTGTAGGAAGGGTGGCCCAAGAGGCCTTGCTGTCTTGAGGCCTCTGTTTCTTCATCTGGGGCATGAATGCAAAAATCCCTGAATAAGAATGAGGGGCCTGGAACATGCCAGAATCCAGCCCAGCTTTCTTTCTGCAGGCCAGCTCTTTGGGTTCCCAGAGCCTAGGAAGGACAGAGTCACCACCACCCTTGGCTTATTTTATTTTCCACAAGTTTGGGGGACAGAGTGAGTGACCCGAGGCCCAGTGAGCTCTACTCACAGAGGCATGCAGGTGGAGGTGACCACAGGTGGCGCCGGGCCCTGCCAGGAGAGTAGATGTCAGAGGAATGAGGCCCCTCATGTGGCTAGAGCCCTGTCGCCAAGCCTGGTTGCCCTGAGTTGCAGAGATCGCGGAAGCAACAGAAGACAGGGTGGGCAACCCCAATGCCATCAGGGTCGGTGGCCAGGCAGGAGCTGGAGCACGAGCGGGTCACCATAGGGCTCTGGTTGAAGGGGAACTCTGCAGGGTGGGCAATCATCAGAGCCACAGCCACTGCAGGTCCTGTCTGGCTCTGCGTGCCCTCTCCACATCACTCTGTCTCCTCAAACCCCACCTGCAGCTCACAGCCCAGATCTGCCCCACCAGTCCCTGTGGTGCACATGCACTGACTGCCTGGACCTGAAGTGGGAGCCCCAGCTCAAGCTGCAGCAGCACAGCCCAACAGAGGTGGGGTTTAACCAACCGGCTCCCTCTACCCCTCCTTTACCCACATGCCACTACCTCAGTGCAGGTGCTTGAGGGACTGCAGGAACCCGCTCTAAGATAGGAAGACACCCCCCCCCGGCCACCATTCTTGCCCCTCTGCCTCTTGGGCTAAGAGGAGCAATGGTGGGTAGAAGGGAAGGTGGGCCTAACCCAGGTGCACCCCAGCCCTTGTGTGGGCCAGCCTTACCTGATTCCACCATCTCCAGTATGGTCTTGCAGGCTGTGTCCTCCAACTTGCACTGAGTGATTGTCTTGCATTTATCAATGGGTGTAGGCTGCGCACAGGTGTAGCATCTGAAGGCCTCGCCTGACAAGGATTAGGGGGCCACAGCCTTACTACCTGGCCCCAGGAACCCCTCCTGGAACCAGGTGGGACTAGAGGTGATCTCCTGACATTCTTCAGAGCCCAGCAGACTGACTGACAGACTTGAGCACTACATCCCACTACTCCAGCCTCAGCCTCCCTCCTTGGAGAACAGGCCATGGCCATGACTCCTGTCCTAGGGGAGAGGTAAGCTCTAAGATCTAACAGGCTCCTAAAGACCCAAGAGGGTGTCCTCACCTTCAAAACTTAACACTGCCCTCCCTTTAGAAGATGGGGGAAACTGAGGCTCAGAGCAGGGTCCCCCTGCTAGCCTTACCCTTAGTCACTCACCACAGCCCACACTCCAGGCTGCCAAGAACAGTAGCCGCATGGCCCAGTGAAAGGCCATTCCTCAGAGCTCAGGAACTGGGAGCCCTAGCCTGGCCCCATGCTGAAGATTTATACTCAGCCCTCCGGCTTTGGCTCCTGGGTGTTGGCAAAAACGGAGTGACTCAGTAGGGAGGCACGGTGTTAGGATGTGGGTGGTGGACAGAAGCATCATTTACCACCTCGGGTGGGGCCCCTCAGCAGACTCCCTGGGAGCCCCAGTCCGGGGGACCTGGACCTGCCTCTGTTGGCCTCTTTCTAGTCCTGCCCTGTGGTCCTGGGACAGTTCCAATAGAGGAAACCTTTCCAGAGCCTGGTTCTACAGGCCCTCTGATGAGCCCATCACCCCTGGGCTGTGCCCAAGTGATTCACACAGGCCAGATGGCCCAAGTCCTGAGGACTCTTGAGGCCCGGGTGCAGGGCTACCCGAGCTCTGCCTGGCATAGGGAGTCTCGTGGGAGCCGAGCCCCATCTGCCTGGCCAGGGTCTGAAGCTGGTCGATTATATACTCACAAAGTAAAGACTAAGCCAGCGTGGAAAAGTGGGGATGCCTGGTGAAGTTGGGTGATGTGGGGATACAGGTGGGGATGGGGCCTTGGACTGCCCCCCTTCTGCCCACTGATCACTTGGCCTTTGGACCAAGCCTGAGCTTCTTGGCTTTGGGCCCCAGCAACAGGGCTTTGCCCACCCTCTGGCTTCTTGGCTTGACAGTCTCCTTTGACCTCCACTGCCCGCCTCTCACCCCACCCTGTACTGTGCCCATGCCTTTTCCTGTGCTGGGCCTCTCATAGGTGGACACACTGGCTAGTCTTATGCCATAAGAACCATCCATGCCTTCCTCCTCCACAGTCTTTCCTAGTCATGGTCTTCTTGGTTTGTCTGTTCTAATAGGTGGCCATGTGGGTGGGTAAGTGGGTGCACGGATGAAGGAAGGGAGGGACGGAGGAAGGGAAGATTGAACAGGTGGGTAGATGGGTGGACGGATGGAAGCTGTGAGTGAATGGACGGGCAGATGGATGGATGCAGGAAGAATGGATGGTTTCAAGGCTGGCTGGAGGGTGGGTAGATGGATGGGTGAATAGCTAATACTTGGCTTAAAAAGTGTTGGATGATGAGTGATTGCATAGGCAGACGGGAAGGCTGGGTGTGTGGCTCTATGGAGGGTTGGTGGGTGGACCCTCCTGAGGAACAGAAGACTTACGGTCTGATCATGAGGCAGGATGGGAGGTGAGAAAGTGGGCACCCAGGAGACCCAAGTTTTTCTCTTGGTCTTAAAGCCCTCTCCATGTGTAGCCTTGGGGTGCCCCCCTTTGTCCCTCCAGACTTTGGTTTCTTGTTAGTGAGTTGCTAGGGCAGAGTGAGCTGGAACTGTGGGCTGAGGCCAGTTGCACAAGGTTTGTATGAAAGTAAAGAGAGGGCATGGTTTACAAAGGACGGACTGTGGACACTACAGGTCCAATGAGGTTTTGTCCACAGACCACACCCAAATGTTGAGAGAGGTGTCGAGGAAAGTCTGGGCCTGGAGCCTGGTAAATTGAGACTAGTCCTGGCCTGCTGGGTGACCCAGGCTTGTTCACCAGGCACTCACTGCTCTCCTTTTATCTGTAAACTGGGTAGAGGATTGTCCACTGTAGTTCATGCTTGGGAGCCCAGGGGTCGGGTAGGAGTGCTGAGCTGATGAGCAGTGCTGCCGAGGACCTGAGCTTCTTGAAGTAGATGGCCTTGGAAAGGAGAAACAACTTCAGAAGTCAGGGTGGCAGGGAGGGAGCTGGGTGGAGTGGCAGCCAGGAGAGGGCACACACAGCCTGCCTGTGGGCAGAACATGCCACACCTCTAGCCTCAGTTAGCAGGTGCAAAGACAGCACTGTGTCTAGGGCAACAGCAGCGGGGAGGGACATTTTATGCCCTAGTTTGGCGCTGTCTTTGTGAGAGTCCACACCCTCCCCACTGGTCCCAGGTGGAGAACCGGGAGACCAAGTCTATGGTAGTTTATAGCATCGAGGGCATGCTCACTTCTCTGAGCCTTAGACAGAGCTACTCCACAGACCCAGGTGCTGTGATGTATCCCTGGGCAAAGCCATTTCTCCTTCCTGAGCCTATCTAGTCTTTAAATTGAGGTGACTGTCCTAAGCTCTTGGGGTTTCTGGGAGGCTGAAATGAGGGAATGTGTGTAAAACCTGCCCAGGCCATGCAAGACTGTCTGCAGAAATCAACAGAGGCTTGGATGGGATGCTCTCACGTAATCTCTCATCACCTGCCCAACAGCAGTGCAGGGACCCCAGGTTCCTCTCCAATTCAGTCCGGGCACCCAACAATCCCCACCTGTTATACAAGCGGGACCCATGACCCTGGCCTGTTCCCTCTCATCTAGCTGACCACTGTCCAGTTCTCACCCAGCCCTCCACATAGAGGCACTGGCTAAAATGCAAATTCAGGACGCAAAGCTTTGGTTGCTTGCCTTCCTTCTGGGCCATCAGCTTCCCAAGTGGAAGAATATTCTCCACTGCTCTAAGACCCCCACATTCCAGTCCACACCTGTCTATGCTAACTCTTGAGATCGTTTGCTGGAGGAGGGTGGGATGGATAGAGGATGGGTGGATAGATGGATCATGGGATGAAGAGTTGGATGGTATGGGTAGGTAGAGGGATGAATGGAAGATAAAATTATAGGTAGGTAGATGGAGTGATGGTTGAATGGATGGATGGTTGAAAGAATGGTGGATGGATGGGTAGACAGTGAACAGATGACAGGGTAGATGGATGGGGTGGGTGAGTAGATGGATGGATGAGTGCCTGGGTAGACTATAGAGCTAGGCATGGTGGCACTTGGGAAGTGGAGGTAGGAGGATTCAAGGTCATCCTCACCTACGTAGTGAGTCTGAGGCCAGCCTGGTCTGCATGGAATCCTGCCTCAAAAAATGGGTGGATGAATGATGGATGGATGGGTAAATGGATGAGTGGATGATAGATCATAGGATAAATGGATGGAAGGATGGGTTGTAGTTAGATGGACAGGTAGGTGTATAGATGAGACGATGGATGGATTAACGGAGAGTGGATAGAGAACAGAAGATGGATAGGAAATCTGTGAAGGATAGAGTCTATGGATGAGAGGATGACGACTGTGTGGGAGGTAGACGGATGAATGGAAGGGCAGACGGATAAGTAGGCGGGATTTGTGGGTAGATGGGTAGTTGAAGATGGTGGGGTGTTGTTTTGTCTTCCTAGGAAACCTAAGATGCTATTGTCAATGACCCAGTCTAGACTGTCCTGGAACACAGACTGACCTCTCCCCAGGGTACACATGGCTTTTCTTACAGCCTTTTGCAGACATGGACATCCAAGGATTGAAGAGCCCACTTCCTCTCAGACAGTTCCTGTTTGCTCAGACAAATGTGTCTTAGGTTTTCTTTCTTGGGAGTTTGAACTCTGTGACACCTCCTTCCCATTCCTGGCCCTATGTCCACACCTCTGGGGCAGTCATACTACCACTGTGATTACCAGTGAACCAGGTCCAGGGCTTGGCTCTTGGGGGCCTGGACTGCTGAATGACCTGCTCAGATCTGGTGACTGACTGTGGTGGGAGGAGGTAGACAGGTGGGAAGTGGCTGCCACAGGGAGACTGGGTGGGGGCTTAGGCAAGAGTTGGCAGTGGGGACAGTTGGAAGAGCTCCTCAGGAGTGTTGTTGGGGAGTGGGACACTGGCAATGGCTGAACCCAGGGAGCCACATCATCATGTTCCGCTTCAACATGGCTGCCTTCTCCAGAGGAGTGTCCCAACTTCCCCAGCAACCCCTCCCTCAGGGTGGAATGCCAGGCCCTGAAGCAGGCACAGGCCATGGCCCTGGGAATGCACAGGCTCCCTGCTCCTCTCAGAGACTGGTGCTGGGATCCAGCCTCACTCTGCTCCAGGTGCAGGCTCTCCAAGTAACCCTGGGCTCTGTTACCTCTACCTGAGACCTAAGCATCCTTACCCCCAGGTCCTGGGTGCTCATTCCTGCCCCCTCTGTTAGTTGGAAAAGGCAAGGCTGGAGACCAGAAAGGGGGTCTCTTTACTTCTGATTTCAGGGCCTGAGGTGATGGGGTTGGGGTGTGGCAGGCCTCAGAAGATGGGCAGAGCTAACTGTATCAGTCAGCCCTGGGCTGGAGTGGACCACCAGGCAATGAACTCAGTTCTTCTCTGCCTGGGACTGGCAGTTGAAGTCAGAGGCCACTGACTTCTCTCTTCCACAAGGCTAATCCCACCCTGTCTGTTTTCTACGGGTTGTGGACCTGCTTGGTTTGCCACATTGGTAAGGCCTGGGGCCAGGATGGGTCCCTGCCAAAGTACCTCACTTTCTGACCAGTGAGTCGGGGAGGGCCCTGGCTGAAGGACTCGGATTTAGCTGGACCCAAGACAGGGATAAATCCTCAGAAGAGAGGTCAAAGTCAGTAAGTCAAAGAATTTTAAGGCCTCTACATGGCCTATGCCTGGGCACATGCCCCAGATGGAACCCAAGTGCCATATGCTGAGCCCTGGTCGCAGATAAAACTAATCTTTGCTTTCAGAGCCCCGCTTCCTGCTCATAGACTGAGCCACATCTCCAGTCACAGTAGGTTTTGTTCTCAGCCTCTGTTTAGGTCTGTGAAGTGTCTATGCATTTATAAGGTGCTCGTGTGGCACAAGAAAAGGTCAGTAGGAGGGTGCGATGTGACGGTAGGACCATGTCTTCCTGTTGACAAAGTCAGAATCACAGCTCTGGACAGGAATGCCCAAGATATCGTGGGAATCCCAGCCTCTAGTCACCTCCATTCTGGAAGTCTGCCCTCATTCTGCTTCCAGACAGACAGTATTCATGCTTGGGACCGGTTGTGCTCCAAGACAGGTGGAGAGGCTCACTGCTGGGAGGCTACCTCAGGAGCTGGCCCAGGATCAAAGGGCCCAACAGAAGACAGGTGGAGAGCTCCCAGGACCCAGGGACAGGGGGCCTCCCAGATCTTCAATCTTCTTCTCCAGGCAAGAGGAGTCTTCAGTGGCACCTGGTCATGGGACCCTTGCTCAGGGGCACAGCTGCCCTCCATCCAGGAGCCAGGAACCCTTGGGGATGATGACCAAGGGTCAGGCCCCTGGATCTAGAGTCATGGGCTGGGGCAATGCTGGAAGGAAGGTCACAATGCTGATTTCAGATTGGCTGGAAGTGCCACCAGCTGGATGAAGGGCTGACTCAGAGGCACAGAACAGGGAGGGAGAGTGAGGCAAGAAGTCTGGGGCAGGGCTGCCAGTCAAGGAGGAGAGGCAGGTGCCAGAATGGGGGAGGGGTCCTGCTCAGTGGTCTGTTCCTCTAGTCCAGCCTCTGCCCACTTGTCAGGCTCCCCACAGGCCCCAAGACCCAAAGTGGAGTGATCACCTGGTCTGGATGGGTGTTCCAGGCCTGGTGACTGTCCTGGCTTATAAGGTGACACTTCAGTCCAGCATACAAGACAGGACAGGCAGACAGGATGGGGAAGGATTCAGAGACACAACAGGAAGACCCTTCTCTATACCCTGCAGGGCAGGTTGCTACCCAGAAAGGAGACTCAGGACACTGATGCAGGTGGCCACTGTACTTCTTCAAGGCATTGGGGGACCGGGCTGTCAGGGGCAGAGGCAGGATAAAGGACAGGGAGAGGTAGGGACAAGGCTGGGTAGGCATGGCTTTATACCAGGAGACCCAACAGGAAGTTAAGTGCCAGGGCGAGAGCGAGGCCAGCAGGGCTGCCCAGGGCGGGTGCCCCATCCGCGTTACACAGGTCAGCATCGCAGCAGGACACCGGCCGGGTTAGGCCAATGCCATCCACGTCTGAAGGCTCACACTTGCTGGCGCAAGACTTGGTCACTGTGGAGTCCCCAAGGACAGGGAACACTGCGGGACACAGAAACTGTCAGCCAAAGGGGCTGGTTCTTTACTGTCTTCATGCCCAGGTCCTGGGGCACCTACTCTGGGATCGCCCACACCAGTGGCCTAGGTTCCCCCTTTCACCAAGATCACTGAGTGCCTACGGCATCTTGCACTTGGCTGTGGAGCAATTTGTACATAATGCATAGCATAAAACCCAAGCTATAAGCTAGCCAGCCCTTCCTAGAGACTCCCAAGTGACAGGCCTCTCCTCGCAAAGGGGAGGGGAAGGGAAAGGAGGGCGATCTAACTGCTGGGAGAGAAAGCCTCCTTTTTGAAACGATGGCTACAGCCTGTGTAGAAGATCAACTGACCCGGGAAGATCAACTGACTGTCTGGAGGGGCCTGTGACCTGGACCCCAGCCCTGCCCCACCAGCATCTACTGACCAATCTCCTGGGAATAGAGTGTGGTCTTGCACATGGTTTCATTGACACTGCAGGTGGTGATGGTGACACAGCTAGACACACTCACAGGATCCTGACAGGTGTAACACTGTAAAGTCACGGCTGGAAGAGAGTAATGAAGGGCAATGACCAGGCCTCGCTCCACCTAAAGCCCAGAGACAGTCTGCAGGAGCTGCCTGGCCCAGTGGCCCAGTAGGAGGGGGAAAAGGACACTAGCTAGGGGCCAGCCGTCCACCCACTGGCCAAGCTCAAGGAAGACACCAGGAGTATTGAACTGGGGTCTGGCAGTGCTATGATGGAACCCCAGGTTCCTGAGTCAGACTGTGCCCCTGGATTAAGAGGCTCAACTTGGGGGCCAGGATGGGGGCAGCTGGTTGGAATGTCTGTCAGAAAACACAGAAAGGCAGAAGCTAGGGCTTCTCCACGGCCGCAGGCCCTACGGGATAGGGAGGGTCCTGAGTGGACATGGTTAGGGAGGTGCCCCTCTACTTCCTGACCAGCAGAGCACCCTGGGATAAGGCAAGTAGATCCTCGGAGCACAGGGTGGGAGCTGTGCCTGGGAACTCACTCATGCCAACTTTGCAAAGGTGTTCTCCCCAAATGGAAGTGTCCAGATGTGAGGTCTGGCTGTGAGTGCTTTTTCTTGCATCCCAGTTCCAATCCAAGAGCCCCAGTGTGCCTGGCTGGCCCTAACTGATCCAAGCAACCCAGACATACAGGGAGGCTACCTGCCTTTGTGACCAGGTAGGGCCTCTGCTGACTGACTCAATCTCTTCCTCTAGAATATGTTCAGCACCACCTGGCTACCACTGATCTCCTAGGTGGTTGAGTGTCAGCGTCATGTGGACCCCACTTGTTCTCTCAAATCCCAAGTTCAGTAGTCACCCATCTGGATAGTTCTGGGTCTCCTTCCCAGTTCCCCAGCTCCATTTGTACCCCCAGACCTGCCGCCCCAGCCTCCCAGGCCTTCTTCCTCCCCAGCTCAAAGGCCTTCCCTGGGGGATGTGCCAATATCCTGCGGCCCCCATCCGGTGCCTGGGGCTTTGGCTCCAGCCTCTGCCTACCTGGCCAGTCCCAGCTCTGCCCTCTTTCTCCACCCCCTCTCTGAAACTCCTCCACCATGAGGTGCTCTCTCTGAGAGCAGTGTGTGACAGTCCTGGGGAGCACAGACCCTGCAGCCCCCCCCATGTGTCCCCATGCTCACCAAGTTCCCCACAGGTGGTCAATACCAGTACCAGCACAGCCCAGGTCCCCTGCATGGTCCCAATGCTCACTCTGACCTGCCTGGTGGGGATGCCAGGTGTGGTGGTCTGACCGGTTGGCTGAGCAGATTAGCAGGGATCTGATTTCTGGAGGGCGGACATATGGAGACCCCACCCCAGCCCTACTCCGCCTCCTCATTGGCACCCCATTCTCTAGGGTACTTCCCCCACAACCACCCCTTCTGGACCCTGCCAAGTCCCTCTCAACCTGTTTGTCCTCCCTCCACCACTCAAGGCTAGTGCTCTGCCCCTTCATGAACTCTTTCCTCTGAATTTGGGGCAGCTCCCCCATCCCACTGAGGGCCCTTCCACCTCTTCGGTGCAGCTCCTGACCAGGGGAACTTTCCAGGCTCCTCCTTACCCCTCCCCGCTGGAAGGGACAGGCCAGAGGCCCCCAAGGTGTATGGAATGGTACGATGAGGCTTGGGGTCTCTCCTGCCCACCTCTGGCTGTCTCAAAGACCCTTTGCCTTGTGCTCTGCTCCTGTCTCCAGAGCAGAGTTGTAGCCTGGCATCGCTGGGCTGGAATCTCCCCAACATGACCTTGTCCCCCTCCCAGCTGTTCTGAGGTGGTCAGCACGGGGTGGAGTGAGGGCTCGGAGCCGAATTGCCACTGACAACCAGCCCAGAGTTTGCTCAGAGGCCTAAGGAACAAAGACAGAACTTGCTTGGTCAACAGGAACAGTCCTGGAGGAAGGGTGAAGCCAGGGGGGCCTAGGGTTACTTTAGGAACACTTTTCCATGTCCCCTGGAGAGCCATCCACTCCCTGCTGGTCTGTACACCTTGGTCTCTAAGGGCCCTGGGTTGTTCTCAAACAGGACTTCCCTGGGGCCATTTACCTCCCTCCACTGAAGAACAGGAAGGTAGAGGAAAGGAAGTGGTGGGGTCCTTTCTCCAGGCTTAGACAGGACCCTGTGCCTGGGTTCCCTACTTCCCCACAGGCATCTCTCCAGAGTACCCTATCACCTCCTTTCAAGTCTCACTGCTCAGGGGTGGGGTGCAGAAGTGTGGGGGAGGGCACAGCTGCCTGCCTTTTTGCTGATTGTCAAGGCTACAGAGTTGTAGGGCCTCACAGGGGGTCTACTCCACAGGTGGGGCACCAAAACCCCTGTCCCATCCTGGCTTTGCTCTACCCCTCCACTCGGGTCCATGGTCCTTTTCTGGTCCCAGAGCTTTCCTGCCAGGCAGCTCCACTGGGGTCAGGCTTCCCCCAGCGTGGGAGAGTCTCTTTCACCTGAGTACTGGGCAGAGCACTGTGCGGGCCCAGGCTTCCCCCGCCCAGCGTGAGTCAGACTCAGTTCTTCCTCATAACAGCTCTGGAGGGAGAGCACTAATTTTATTATGGATAATAACAGAAGCTAACTGACTCGGGCCAGGTCACCTAGCAAGCCAGGTAGCATCCCAAGCCTGCCCAATTTTGCAAGTCAGTCGCCTTGCATGACCATGACCATGCAGCAGTGGGCTTGGGTGTGCTGAAGCTAACTGGATTAGACGGCCCACCTCACACCCAGGTCTAACCCAATTTCTCCACCATGCCCAACCCCACTCAGCTCCTTCTTGTTCTCAGACCCAGGGGCTCTGCCTCTACCCTACCCCCTGGAATATGTATGCCCGGCCCTTAGGTGCCACTCCTCGGAGACTTTCCACTGGAGAGCTTGGGCTGCACCTTTTGCATAGTCTTTCTGCACCTGGGCAGCTCCCATCTTGGGGCGGGGAGGAATGTGGCCCAGCCAGGCTCTGGGCTGGCTTTGTCTGGGAGGCCTGTGCTTCTCAGCCCACACCCTTCCCTTCTCAGTTCCAGGAACCTCCGGATTAGAGCTCAGGTATGAACAGGGTCGAGGCTCAGAGTGTGACCTGGGTCAGGACTCAGAAGGTAATGAGGATCAGGGCTCAGGTTGTTACCAGGATCAGGGTACAGCCAGTGCCAAGGATCAGGGCTCAGAGTGTGAACGGAATCAAGACTCAGTGAGCAGGATCAGGGCTCAGAATGTGACCTGTGTCAGAGGTCAAGTGTGATCTGGGTCAGGGCTCAGAGTATGACTAGGGTCAGGGTTCAGAATGTGACTTGGGTCAGGGCTTAGTGTATGAGCAAAGTCAGAGCTCAATAGGTGACCAGAGTAGATTCAGTTTGTAACCAGGATCAGGGCTCAGAATGTGACCTATGTCAGAGTTCAAGTGTGACCTGGGTCAGGGCTCAGCCTGCAAGTAGGGTTAAGGCTCAGAATGTGACCAGGGTTAGGGCTCAAAGTGTGATCTGTGTCCAGACTTAGAATTGTGAGCAGGTCAGTTCTCAGAGTGTGACCTCAAGGTGTTACTAGGATCAGGACTCAGCCTGTGACTGGGACAAGGCTTAGCCTGTGACCAGGGTTAGGGCTCAGAATGTGGCTGGGATCAGGGCTTAGAGTGTGACCTGTCAGGGCTCAGAGTATAACCTGGGTCAGGTCACAGAGGGTGACCAAGATTCCTGATCAGGGAGGCCTCTGTACCCAGGATCCAGGTTTAATGTATGGTTAAGGTGACAGGTTCGCGTATGACTAGAATTAGGGCTTAGAGTATGGCCAGGGTCAGGACTCAAGATGTGAGCAGGACCAGGGCTCAGGGTATGACCAGGGAGCACTCAGTTTGTAAACAGGGGCAAGGCTCAGTGTTTGATTAGGGGTTAGTATGTGTCCAGGATCAGGCTCAGAGTGTGACAGGTTGAGAAATTAGTGTGTGACTAGGATTAGGGCTCAGTATGTGACCAGGGTCAAGGCTCATATGTCTGGGATTGGTCTCAGAGAGTGACTATAGAGGGCCCCCACAACACTGCTGCTAAACTAGGACATTGTGTGTCCTCTTCTGAGGACTAACAGCTAGAATTTAGGCTGGAACAGTGATCCAGGGGTGAGATCTCCCCGCCGTCCCTCCCCCGCACCTTACAGTGGCTTATTTTCTGGGTACACTGGGATTCCGCAGTGGTGACCCTCTCCAGGTCTTGTGCATGCCCCCTCACTCCAGGTTGGAGGAAATAGTTGACTCTCTTGGGGTGAAGGCAGGCACCAGGAGAGGCCACCCTGACTCCTGTGTTTCTGTGCTGAGAGTTCATTGGGTCAGAGGGCCCAGTTGGGTGCCCAGGGCCTCCCTCTGCCTCATGGCTTGGGTCATCTAGCGTTCTCCGGTCAGTCAGTGTTCCACAGTCATCCACAGATTTCATACATTGCTGTGGGCCAGAGTTTGGGCACAGCCTTACTCTGCTCCAGGGCGGTACCAGGCTGTGGCTAAGGTATTGGCTAAGCCAAGGTCATCTCAAGGCTCAGCTGTGAAAGGAGAAGCTTCCGGACTGGCACGGGGCTGGAGGATTCCTCTTGCTGCGTGTCGGAGGCCCCCACCTCCTCTTTATCCCACTGCTTGGTCAGCAGGGCCTGCCAGCCACACACCTTCAGTTGCTAAGTAACAAATTGCCCAGCACATCACGGCTGTCTTTCTGGCTGTAGGCTGAGCTGGGCTCCGGGCCCAAGGATTCTTACAAGCCCAAGTCAAGGTATGGACCTGGCTGGACTTGAGCAGTGTGCAGGCTCCTTGGGGTACTGGCAGAAGCCAGGTCCTTGTGGCTGAAGGTCTGATCCCTGTCTCCTTGCTTGTATCAGCTGGGGGCTGTTCTCTGTCCCTGGGCCCCCCTGACTCTTGGGTTGTTGGGCTTGAATGACCTCATCCACCTGCAAGTGAGCCAGGCGTCTTGGGTCTCCCATGACCTCCACTCTGTCTTCCTTTTCTGCCACCGGTACCTGTGCTAATCAAATCCCTAGTTTGTCACATCTCCTCTGGCACTTCAGGTTTGCTGAAGACTGTCCCCAGATTCAGCAGTCTCTTTTCCTGCCTTACTAATGAAGTGCAAATTTGTCCTCAAGGCCTTACTCTAGTGGACACTTCATCACCAGGGATAATGGGGGCAATTGAATCGTCCCTTCCTATGTCCTCAGGGCTACCAGAGGTGAGACACTGTCAGCCTAAGTGCTGTCCTGATGTCCAGCTGTGAGTGGCTCCTTCTGGGACTCCTGAAGAGCACTGACCATAGCACGAATGAAATGGATTCTTACAGTGTGCTGGACCAGAGGTGTGCCTACATTCTGAGTGTCCCATGGCAGGGAGGTGCTTTTACCACCGTCTGCCTTTGCCTCCAGGTGATGGAGATCGCCAACAGACCCTTGGTTCTGGGACGTCATGGAAAGTGAATGTTGGTCTCCAGCTCCTGGGCCCTCGACCAGCCTTGGTGAGAGGTATGGATGGATGTTCTCCTGAGCCCCGGGAAGCTCTGCCTTTGCCTTCTCTGTCTGCCCTGAGCGTTGTGGCTCCTCCATCTTCTCACGCCGTCTTTTCAGGAGCATCTTATATATCCCGCGAGCACCGTGGCTTTTGAACGAGTCCTCTGACCGCAGGAGGGGCATTCGTCATGGTGGGGCAATTTGTGAACTTGTATGGCAGTGTCTCCCACTCACGGCCCTTCAAGGTTATGCTGGCCATGCTCATCATCAACTCAGAGTGCTCCCCTGTGGGAACAATACCCACGGCCTCCCTCCTCAGCTGGCCAGGGCCCGCCTCCTGCAGCCAGTCTCTGCTGAATCCAGGAAGGCCAAAGGGTATCCAGGCCTGGGCTCTGGCTCTCCTGCCCTCCTCTGAAGGGCATCCAGGAGGGCAGACAGGTGATTTTTAAATCAACGTTTCCACACTGAAAAGGAAGTGGGTGCACAAATAGCACCAGAGTGGTGCCCTGGAAAGAGGTCACTGTGCCCTGTTTCTCCTGTGCCTGTCCAGAAGGCTACAAATATGCACCGGCTGCCAGGGTCCTGAGAGTTAGACGTGGACAGTTTACACTGGAAAGGGGGCAGTGGCCATCTCTCTACTCATCCTTTGCATCCACCAGCCAAGCTTCATGGAGATGTTTCTAGAAGGACAGTGCTCAGACTCAGTGGAACTAGACCCAGCCCTCCACAGTCTCACTGTCCCTGAGATCATGACCCACCCTAGCCCAACCCCAGCCCTCGTTGCTACAGTGGCTCCTTCCAGGAGAAGCCATTAAACCTTTATCACCCCACACTCAACACCCAGACCACTCATCAGGCCCTCGCCAGCCCCTCTCCTGAAGGTCTGCCCCAAAGCAGTGCCCACTAGGAGCCACAGGTGTCTGGAGGACACTGCAGAGCCAGCAGTGGGCCAAACTTTAGGCGTACTCCAGAGTCCCACCGATTGTGCTCCAAGGGGCAGCACTGAGGCTGCCCCTCCCTCAGGCCTCTCTCACTGCGTCATTCACTGGGTGTACTTTGGTACCCATGTTGTAGCCTTCATAATAAGGGCGATGAGGCTGTCTGTCCTGCCCCCCCCATCCTGCCTTGGCACATCTCTTCGTGGCCTCCTTCTGCATGTCCTTTATCCATTAACTGTGTCACTGCCCTTCTGGGCACACGTGGATGGGCATACATGGAGGGCAGCGTGCTTCTTGGCATCCGGGGCAGGTATTTCCTCTCTCTCTCTCTCTCTCTCTCTCTCTCTCTCTCTCTCTCCAACCCAGGCTAGTCTGAACTTTCAATCCCAGCCTCCCAAGTACTAGAAAGCTTCCATGTGCATTTTTGAGTCTTATGTAGTTGTGTATGAAACTTTCTCAATTTGGATTTTGCGTCTTGGATTTTTTTTTCTTTTTAATTTTTAGAGGTGTACTGGATAGACCTTACATGCTTTGCAAGTCACCTATTTTAAAGTGCGTAATTTGCTGGGTGTGGTGGTGCCTGTCTGTAAGCCCTGCATCTGGGAAGCTGAGAAGGGGGTGGGGTGCCATGAATTCAGGCTAGCCTAGGCTACATATTGAGATGCTGGAGACCAGACAGAAACAGAGGAGAGAGAGGTGGGGAGGTAGTTTGGGCATATCCACAGACATATGCAAATACCACTAGTTATGTTGATAGCTACATCTTCATTGTCTCAGAGAGAGGAGAGAGAGAGAGGGAGAGAGAGCCAATGCCCTTGGCCATCTTGCCATCCCTCTGTTTCTGTGGTATTGTGAAAGATATTCTTGGTTTTCATCCCAGTTTCTTGCTATGCAACTCCTTAGAACTCTGAGGATCTCTAAGCCTAGATTATTTTATGAAAGCCTAAAAGAATTTCCATCTACTCAGCAAGAGTACCTTTCCTAAGTTGATAAATGGCAGGTAGATGGGCGCCCCTCGTAGTTCCAGGATGGGGCTGATCACTGCGAGATCCCTGCATGATTAGAAGGTGGAGATGTTCATCCCCACCCCCAGTCTCTGCTGGAGAGAAGCTGAAAGTTGTACTGATCACCAGTGGCCATTGAAGTCATTGATCATGCCCATATAATGAAACTTCCATAAAGCTCCAAGGGGACAGACCATGGAGCTTCTGGGTTGCTTAACAGAAGGTTCCAGAAGGTTCTGGACCTTGTGGGAAGAGCCTGAGAAAGCAGTCAGGCCTGGAAGGGCATGGAGGCCGGGTGCACCTCGCACACCTCTCAGTCTCTGTGTCCCTCTGTCTGGTGTTTGTTAGCATCCTTTGTCATGTCCTCGATTAAAAATGGGTAAGCGTAGGGGAAGTGTCACCTGGGTTCTGAGTCCCTGTGGCTCCTTACTGGGCTCCGAGGAGGGGGTTTATAACTAATCACAGAAATCAGGCCATAGCCAGGAGCTTGCAAATGGCACCTGGACTGAGAGGTGGCCAGGGGCCAGAACCCTTGACCTGTGGCCTGCAGACAGCTGGTATCTGAATTGAGCTGACCTGGAGGACCCCAGCCGAAGCCCGCTGCAGGACTGGCAGAAAGTGCGAAGGCTGATGATCCCAGGACCCGAACCTTCTCGTCAGGCCCAGTAAAACTCCACAGGGGAAGTTGCGATAGGGAGGCTCTGTTCACACCTGTGGGACGAGGACTTTGTCAGGGACATCCCGGGAGCCGGCCAGAGATCCTTTGCTCTGCACACACCCCACGCTTTGCACGCCAGCACATGACACACAGATGTCTGTAACTGCAACAGTTCAGACGATGCTCTGGACAGCACAGCAGCGCCACCCCTGGTAACAAGGGCGCCGAGAACAGGGTCTGACCTGGATTTCCTGGCTGGCGCTATGACTTGCCTCTGTGCCTACGAAACCAGGAGTCCAAAACTCAGCCCCGGGCCTGGTTGGGAGCAGGTAATTAAATGTTTGCCAAGTGAGTAGTTTCCACAAGCACTGGGCGTTGAACTCCCATGCCCACCCTGAGGTGAGTGGTTAAGCTGTCCTTGTAGCTCCACCATCTGTCCCAGGGCACAGCTTTCCCATTGCAGCCCCCGCTGAGCATCTGGGGACATGCAGGGCTTGGCAGGGTGGGCCAGCCTTCTGGGAGACATAAGCAAGGGGAGCTGGGTCAGCACATGGCGTGAGGGGTAATGCAGGACAAGGCACCAGAGCGGCAAGGCAGGTTTCCCCAAGAGGCACGTGGGAGAGGGTCGCCAACCTTCAGGTCCTTTTCCACAGTCTCCAAAGGCCTGTGGCCATTGGTAGTCCTTCTGCTTCAGAGACCCCTCCCTGACCCCCTGAGCTGTGGGTCTTTAGGAGACTTCGAGAATCTCATTCAGAGTAGAGATGTTCCCTGGCCCTTGACCTTTGGCCCCAGGTCAGGGATCCTTTTGACCTTCAAGGCAAGGTTAGAGGAGTACCTCAGCCCCTAGCCCCAGGTTGGGGGTTCCCTTCCACCTAGCCCCAGGGCAGAGTGCTCCTCAACTTTTCCTAACTCCACATCAAGGATGTTCGTTAAGTGCCTTTGGTCCCAGTTTGGAGTGCTTCCTGGCCCTCAGCCCCAAGTCTGGGTACTCCTTGGCCCCTAGGCCCAGGTTGGGGGGTACTCTTCTATAAACCAGCCCTGGGTCAGGGTGCTCCTCAGGGTCCCCATCCTCAGGCTGGGGGTGGGTCTCAAGTGCCTACAGATCCAGCACTTGCTAACAGTCCACTCTAGAGCAGCACCAGGCATCTGTAGCCCCCTATGCCCGGCTGGAGGCAGGAAGGTTCTTAGAAGAGAGGAAAGTTCAAGGGGGCTGTAGCAGGCGGCCCAAGTGTCGAAGACCATGACTGGTAAGAGATAGGGAGGGGATGAGGTGTTGTCTGAACCCTGTACTCCCATTAGTCAGCTTGTACCTCGAGATCTGGCCACCTTTTATTAGAGGGTTTGTTGATACCGGGGATGGCACAGGAGGGCCTTAAGTTTGCAGAACAGTGGAGTTAGATAAGACTTGATGCAGAACTCCTAAGGGTGAATCTGGGGCACTGTGGGCTGGCCAGGTTGGAATGGTCTCCAGGGACCAGACCCAGCAAGGGACATGGTTCTGCAGATCCAGGCTGTAGTGGAGGAGCGTGATCAGTCACTGTTGCAGAGATTGGACTGGCAGCAAGCAATGGACACATGAGGACCCAGTCCCAGGCTGGGGACATCAGGGCACCCATTGTAGCACATCTTGGTCACCAGAGGCAGGTCTGTAAAGCTGATAGGAGACCCTGGTGGATAAAAGAGAGATGCTCTGAGCTGCCCCAAACCTCTAGTCCCATCTACTGATGTGCTGAGGGTCAGCCCCAGGCACTGTGGGCCTCTGCCTGGCCCCTGCTCCAGGTAGAGTCTACCAGTTGTTCTCCTAGCCTGCCGTTGGCCTTCTGGGCACTTGCATTAGTTCTGGGCTCTGTCTGCCTCTGTCTTGTCCACTTGGGCAAGAAGGTCATGGTCAGACCAATCCACCCGACACACTCACGGGTGGCGATGATGACGCAGTGGGTGGAGCGCCTTGGGCAGCTGGACTGATGGGAACATCCTCCGAAGCCCTTGCACAGATGACACCACAAACCCTGCGTTGTAGCTGCAGGCAGAGGGAGAGAGAGGGCTAGCAGGCAGGCAACTCCTGTAGAGATGCCATCTGCTCTTCTACCCAGCACCTCACAGCTCTGTGGTCCAGCTCCCTGGCCTTCATCTGTAGTACAAGGCCCCTCTAGTCCTTGTGGGAGGAAAGTGGGGGCTGGGCAAGACCCAGGTCACAGGTGGGGCACAGGTCACCATGCCGAAGTCAGTTGGTCTCTATCCCAGGCTCATCCTTCTGCTACCCATGGAGCACAAACCCCAGCTCAGAGGCCATGTCCTCCCACGGGGCCTCTCAGGTGCCTGGAACAGAGTTCTTTTGATGCATCCACCACAGGCTGGCCTCATCACGTGCTCATACCTAGAGTCCTCTCCCTATTCCTACCACACACTGGGGTTTGGAAGAGGAAAGGAGGTCCCTACCTGCTCCTCAGGACTCCACAGCATCTTGTCACACTGCACCTAGCCATTGCACTGCACCCTGCTGCCCTGAGGCTCAGAAGACATTTGGGGAATGAATGATGAATGACCTCTAGGAGCAGGGGTGGTGGTGGAGCTAGGTCATTAAGTGAAGGAACAACTGTGCCTCATTTGGAGATTTTGCATTTTCAGCAATGAGGTCAGGAAGATTTAGTTCCCAAAAGGAAGTTGGTTGTGGGGTGCAGTGGTAAGGTCACAGGGGTAGAGCCAGGTCAGGATTTGTATACACAGAGAGGGCTTTGGAGAAGAGATGGTGGGAGGGATGATGGGATGGGCCTTGGGGCAGCAACTAGCCAGGCTTTGGCTTGTCTTGGGGCATAGGTGCTATTTCCATAGAGGAAGGAGCTGGGAGGTCCCAGTGTAAGGAGTGGCCTCTGGTTCACAGATGCTCCTGGGATACCGCAGCTCTGGCTGAGACAGGGAGGGCAGGTTAGCCCATGGCTGGGGGCTCCCTGTGAAGCCCCAGAAAACAACAAAAGGTCTCTGGACTTTTGAGTTCAGGGTCGTCTAGGTGGAGCTGGTCTGCCCTGGTAGCTCTGAGCAGCACTTAGGATTACGGTTCCGCCTCTCTCAAGACAGACTCCATGAGACCCAGGCCAGGAAGAGTGTCTTCAGGAAGGGACTTTCTGATCCAGAGTTATGGATGTACACATGGGCCTCCCATTCCATCTCAGGTAGACCCCCATGTCCTGGAGCATCCCCACCCATGGATGGAAACTGAGGCTCTGCCAGGTGAGGCCTCGGAGCTGGAGCTGACAGAGTTTGGAGCGTAAGTTACTGGTGGGTCACGGTTCTGCTTAGGCATTGGGTGTGGAGGTAGGAACAAGCTTGGGCTCCAGGAGATGATGCCAAGACCAGGCATGGGCAGTGATGATTGGGGGTGTCTCTGGGGAGCCCTCTGCAGGCACTGGGGCCAAAGTGCTGCAGCAGATGAAGCCAGCACGGGGGGGGGGGGGGGGGGGGGGGCAGGGGGGGCGGGATCGCTTCCCCACACACCTCCTGGCCAGCCTCTGCCATCAGGGACTGTGATTCACTGAATCACTTCTCAAATACATTATTTAATAGAAGACTTAAGAAAAAGGGGGGGGGGAGAGACGGGGGGGGGGGGGGTGTGGGAGGAGACATGGTGGGACATTGAGATGAAGTTAATTTAGTAGAAAAGACAGGGCTGGAGGAGGGCAAAGCAGCAAAGGGTACGCCCACGCTTGTGTGTGCCAGGCAGTGGCCGTGGGATCGGAAAGGCTAGGGGTAGGCAGTGGGTTTCAAGCTGAGCAGTGAGGGTCAGCGTGAGGACTGCATTGAGGGAGTTATGCAGTTCAGAAGGGGGCAGGGGGAGGCTGTGAGGCCACAGCCAGAGGACAGAGGCTGATGGACAGGGAGCAGATAGGAAAGGGATTCCCTCAAGAGTAAGTGGTGGCCTGGGCAGGAAGGACAGCAGTAGGCAAGGGCAATGGAGGAGGTGGTCCCTCCCCGACACTCACCCAGCTCCATGCTCAAGACCACGGCCAGAGGGAGCCAGAAGAGAAGCTTCATGTTCTCTGTGGTAAGGATGCGGCTTACTCCCTGGCCACTCCTTATACGCGCTGTGGATCCCACTCCACCCTTGCCTCCCACTGCCGCCAGCTCCCAGGTCTGAGTCACTTGTATCCTGGCTCAGGCTGGAGCTGGGTTGGCAGAGCTTGCTGCTTTGTGACCTTGGGGGAATCCAGTTTAATATCACAAGTCTTCTTCCCTCCTCCATGAAGTAGGGATGTCCCAATCATCAGACCACAGGCTCTTGAGAGGCTTAGAACAGGCTGGGAGCTCAGTACAGGTCCACCTTACCATGCAGCTGCAGGTCTGACACAGGCAGCCATTCCTCCCTTTCCCCGGAGAAGTGTGAATAGTACTTGGATGTCTTCCTCAGCAAGTCACTTTAAGAGAGTGTGGTGGGAACATCTTGGAGGCCAGAGCTTCCCCATTTGCCAAATGGGGCTTCAGCCCTATCCTGGCCCCGTCAGGACTGGGAGGCCCAGAGAAGTGTGATTGTACACTGGCCATGGGGACAAGAGGTGAGTGTTACCCATCTGAGGACCGTGCTGGCACAGCACTGAGGGAACCAGGCCTGGTAGTGTTAACCCAGAGGCAGCAGGAAGGGGAAGCAAGGCCTTTGATGTTTTTTTTTTAAAAAGGTTTCAGGATGGGTGGAGAGCCAGAAGGCACATGCTGGAGGGCAGGGGTCATTCTGCCTGGCCTGACGGGACTGGGGCCAGGTCAGGAACCCCATGTGTCTGTTCTGGCTGCTCAGGGGACTTTGCTGTATTCCCATTTTATGGGTTCCCAAATCCTAGAGGTGTAGGCAAGGCAAAGGGCCAGAAATTCTAAGAGGTACTGATAGATTCAAACCCCCTTCCTGGGGCATCGGGGGGTGGGGGGAGGGAAGTGGGGTCAGGAACCAGAAAGCCAGAGGGAAGCAGGAGTAGGAAGGACCTAGGGTCCTGTCTGCCCACCCAGCTCCCAGCCTACCACAGGACTTGGCCTTTTCGGTGGGAATGGTGGCTCTGCCTCTTCCCATGGAATAGAGGTGACACCCAGGAGTCCTGGAATCCTGCTTGTACCTCCCATGCTTGGGCTGGCTCTGAGGTCAGGACAGGAGCTTGAGATGGTCAGGGCCAGGAGGACCTACCAAGTCAGGCTAGGTGGATGTGGCCTGACCTTAGGCAGAAAAGGGCAGGAGAGCTGGGTAGACATGTCCTTCATTTGTTTATTCATTCAGTGGGACACTGACATCCATAGAACCCCTCTGAAGTGTGGGTACATGGTATTGGCAGGGAGTGGGCTGGGTGAGAGCTTAAGGTTAACAGTTAATGGCAGACACGACCGGCAAGGGGGGGTGTCAGACATCATGCAGCCATGCATACTCTCGGCCTCCGCTGTACAGGCCCCACACTGGCCCCCAGGGTCAGCTGAGTGGGTACTATCATTGCTGTGTCACCAATGTGCAGTTTAACCTACGCCTGAAGAGTTCAGGGCACGCAGCACCATGTGCAGTTTAACCTACGCCTGAAGAGTTCAGGGCACGCAGCACTGCAGGACCCCACGGTGCTCGCCCAGGAAAGAAACAAGCACGGGAGCGAGGGGTGGCTCTGCTTCTGTCTTTCTAGAATTTCTGAATTCGGACGAACTCGATGCTTGCTCCAACACACACTGCAAAGGGAGATGAAGAAGTGGGTGATCTGCCTCTCCTTCCCCAAATCTGGGGAAGAAGCCACAGGCACAGTGGCAGAGTGTGACCCGTGTGACTGTCCTCACTCCATTTCACGGGGGGCAAGAGCAGACGTCCTGCTCTGGCTCTCCGAAGCACAGTCTGGTTTCATTGCATCCCACAGAGGTACATAACACTCTATGGCACCACAGTCCCATTGAGCAGCCCCTCTGGAGAGACCTTCAAGCTGCTTCCAGATCAAGACTCCAGAGACAGGCACTGCCAGTCACCCTGGACACCATCCATGTCGAGGGGCTCCTGACAGGGGTTGGTGGTAGGTGGATGGGGAGGTCGGCTGACATGAGAAAACTAAGTGCCTCAGCTCTCTGTGCCTCAGTTTCCTTACCCGTCAAAGTAGCACAAGTCCTTCTGTAGTAGCACGGGACAGATAGATCTTCACCACACCGCTCCAGACAGGATCAGGACAGGCCAACTGGCACTATAATCCTGCTCCCCTAGTCTGCACCTCCCACTGGCACCTTCTGGGGTGTTCTGTGCTAAGCACCAAGGGCAGGCTAGCCAAACACAATACTGCCTGTAAGGGTAAGTGGCAATGTGGTCCTGGGCTGGGGGCCCTGTGGCCTCTATGGGGCTTGGATGGTTTCAGGGGAGGTGAGAGAAGCCCTGACACTGGACACTCTTAGCTTCTTCGCTTCAGAGCGCAGGTGATCAGGCCTCTTCCCTTTGTGGTGAAACGGAGGATCCGAATTCAGGGCTCTTCCCTGCTCTGGTCCAGGATGCCACTTGTCTGGGGACAATGGGCTTGCACAAGTAGGGTAATGACAGCTTCCCAGGCCTCTCCCACTGAGTCAGGGACCCACCTCTGATTCCTCCCTGCCAGTACCCTGAGGCTTGCATGGGTCAGTCCCAGTGCTGGCCACTTGCTGGTAGGGAGCTCAGGGGCAACCCCAGCCTCCTCCCAGTCTCCTGGGAGAGCTCATACCCACCTGGGCCTCAGGGGAAGACAACAGCCAGTGCTACTTTCTGGGTTTCATAGCCACTGTGTGTGCATGTGCATATGTGTGCCCAAGGGCCCCTGTACCGTGTACACCTCTCTCTCTCACCTCCTGGCTTGCCCTGAGACCCATTCTCCCTCTAGTCAGTCAATGTCCCATCCCTGGACCACTTCCCATACAGCCATCCTGTCTCTATTCCTGAGCTCATCAGCAGGATTCCACCTTCCCATCCCCCAGCGGAAGAAACTGAGGCAGAAAACCACCTCCAGTCTCAGGAGCAGAACCCAGGCCTGCCTAAGACCAGGAAAGGGTCTCCAGGATGGGCTCCTGTGGCCTGAGCTCCCACTATTGGGTGATCTGAGCAAAGCACTCAAGATGTAGTGACCAGCAGAACTCTCCTACCTGGTCATGAGGAAGTCCAGCATATGGACAGCATCCTGATCCCCTGGGCTGGGTCAGCTTGACGGATCTGCTCAGTGGGTACCTGAGCTGGGGTACTGATCAGGGAGAAACATAATAAGGCTCCCTACTTTAACCATACAAGCATGGAGGCAGATCTGTGCCTCTCAAATATGGGCTGGAGTAGAAGTTCTTGGGGGTCCTGAGACCCACAAGCTTCGGCCACAGCAGACTTCAAGCCCTCAGTATATAGGCAGCTACAAGGACTTGAGCTGACTGTGCTTTTGTCTCCCCAAGATTCACTGAGGGATTGGGGGGTGCAGGAGCTGCCTGTATGACCTGGGCAGCTGACTGAACTCTACACCACTGTCCCAGTCATTTGACCAGCTTGCTCCGGGGCCCTGTCTCACCCCCTTCCTGCCATGTCCAGAACAGCCCTGACCAGGGTACAGGCCAGACCAAATATAGCATCAACCACCTGCCCCGTGTCCCTTGGTCCCTGCTAGCTCAAGGTCCAGTAGCCAGGGTAGGGAAGAGGGGAGGTGGTGGAGGTCAAGAGGTCAGGCTGAGCAAGCAGGTCCCTCCTTGGACCCCAGGTAGCTTATAGGGCTAGAAGGGCCTTAGGGTAAGCCCAGGGAAGTGAAGCCACCCCTATTCTTGCCCATGGGCCATCCTGACACCAGCTTGGCAGGGTTCCTGGGACAGCTGACAGTTTCAAAGGGCTTCCATCCCACATGTGCCCTGGGAACCAGCTGGACTCAGTAGGAGACAGCTCTGCTGGGTCTAGTTCTACTTCTAGCCAGCTATGATCTGTCCTCCTCTCCAGAAGACCTATCCTCTACTGGGCAGACTGAAGCAGGGTCTTACTGCTAAAAGGTAGAGTTCTGCCACTGCTTCCATCCAATCAGTGTTTGCTGGCTGACTGACCTACCCTCCTCCCAATATAGAACATTCTCCCAAATTCCAGACCCCAGCCTGCTACTACGACCAAGCATCTTTGAGAGGTCCAGATCCACACAGCCTTCTGAAGGAAAGGTCATGACTTTGGAGTGAAGATTCCGGTGGTCAGCAGTCCTCCTGTGGATAGTCCTGGGCCCTGGTGTGGCTTAGGCGTCTCAGAGGGCAGAGAGTTGGGTGGGGTGTGTGGTGGAGAGGGTACAATTGTGTTTCTTGAGAATTTTATAGTGTGTGGGTCTTTTGGGGAGAACCAGAACTTTACAGCAAGCCCCAGAAGGTGGTCAGGAGTACGGGGATGAGGCCCAGGGTCACTGGGGCAGTAAATCCAGCCCTGTTGCAGAGGTAGTACTGGCAGCAGGAGGTGGCAGACGCATGCTTGGAGTAGCCATCGTACACAGTCTCAAAGCACTTGGGCACACATGACTTCCTCACTTTCATCCGGTATGGGGTGAAGTCTGCAGGGACAGGGGGCGAGAAGTTTGCCCGGGGAGAAACAGGCACCCTGCAAGGCCCAACCCAGGCTCGTACGAACACGGGGGCAGGGCCCTCAGTGGGGAGCTCTGGGAAAGACCCTGGGGTGGGTGGGAGCCACCCTCCCGGACCTTATGCTCTGGGGTTCCAGACTCACAAGTACGTGTGGTCATACAGTAGGTGGCCATGGCCGGGCAGCGCATAGGGTTGAAGCAGTTTTCTCCATTGTAGGCACACACGTGGCACTCCAGAGCCTGGGCTGGGGACCAGGATGGGGGTCAGAACAGGAAAAAACCCTACCTGACAGTCACACCCCAGCTGTCTCCAGCTAACTCCCATCCCTACCCTGTACCAGGTCAGGTCCCATAAGTGAGTCTGTGGACCCCTCCAAGCCTCTGTCCACCTTACCCACAGGCAGGCCCACCAGAGCCACCAGGAACACAGCAAGTAGGGGTGTCATGATGGAGATGTGCAGACTGTGGTAGTGGACAGGTGGGCAGCATGGGGATCCAACTCAGGCCAGGGCAGGAGCTGGGTGCAGAGGACTAGGGACAGGCCCTTGCCCTATCTGAACTCTTGGTCTCCTGGAGGTTCAGCAACCCTGCATAGACAGTGTGATCACAGCTGGTCTGGAGCAGAGCCACCCAACTCTGTGAGTGTCACAGGTTTCTAGATCCACCCCCCCTGGGGGGGGGTCGGGTGTGGGAGGGAGCAGGATACAGGGCAACCCAAGAGAGAAAGGTGAAGGGTGGGGCTAAGGAGGGGAGGGGGCAGGCAAACATAAAAGGAAGCCAAGAGGCCCTAGGGTCTTTGAATGCTTAGCCCAAAGCAGGACTTCACTCAGGGGACCCTTTTTCAAGGCCCCTTATGGAAACTTGGCACCCAGGCCGCTCCTGGCAGGGCCCAGGGTGCAGGAGCCTGGCCAGGGTAAGACTGGGACCCAGGCTTGGTCTCTTCTCGCTGCTTCCCCTCACTGTTCCTCCCGGAATGTCCCTGCGTGCGGTCCCCCAAACCCCCTGAAAGTGTGGGCTCTGCGTTCTGCGTTCTGCGTCCTAGACCACTGCGGGAAGGGCGGCGATGAACGCCCGACCCCTGGGGAAATGTTCTTCGGACGGCTGTCGGAGGGCTCCTGCCCAGGACACAACAGCTCTGCCGGCTGGTTCTGGGGTGTGGGACTGAAAAGCCGGCTCTCTGGAAAGTGGGCGTTGGGGAAGATCTGGACTACGACTCCCCTCCCCCGTCAAGATACTGGAACCGGCCCCTGCTGGCAAGGGTACCAAAATACGCTCCCACAAGACAGCCCATCTTTCATGACCCATTTCCCAGGCGCCAGGCCAGGGATACTGACGACCTGCGTCAGGCCAGGTCTGCGGCTTGGGCATCGCCCTCCCGGTTTCGGGTAGCAGTCCTGCTGAGCCAGAGCTCCCGGCGCGGGCGGGTACAGGGTGACCTCGCCCTCGCCCTTCACCACCACGAGCTCCCACCGCCCAGGGAACTCACCTCGGCCGCTCCCAGGTGCCTCCCGCGGTATGACGGCTGGTCCGTGCCACAGAGCGGGTGCCGCATCTCGGGGTGGGGGGGCTCTGCAGTCACCCGAAGAAGCGGCTCCCGGCAGGCCCCGCCCGCCCCGACGCACGCACCTCCCCCAGGACCCACGCTCCGTCCGAGACTGGCCAGGCTCCGCCCCCGGGACACACGCTCCGCCCCCGAGACTGGCCAAGCCCCGCCCCTGGGACGCACGCTCCGCCCCCGGGACGCACGCTCCGCCCCCGGGACTGGCCAAGCCCCGCCCCCACCTTGCGGGACGCCCACAGGACTCTTGACAGAAATCTGCGTCAAGACGCGCCTACTCTTGCGTAGCCACCCGGGCGAGCGTGTCCTGCGGACTCTCAGCTCTCCCACGCCCCCGCCGCTCGCCCGTCCCAGGCTTTTGGGTCTGGTGACAGATTCGCGGTGGTGTGCTGACTCTTGGAAGAGGTCCTAGGCACTGAGCCTTGGTCCCTGTGTGGGGTCCACTGGCAACACTTGGGAGCAAGCTTTGGGGACACCCCACAGGGTCGTTCTCACTATCACAATTCAGAACTAAATATTTTATGTAACTTTAAAAGTTTCATTTTATTTTAATTTTGTTTCAAGCAAGCAAAATTTAATAGGTTTTAATGAGCCCTGATTTTTAATTTTTCTGTTTTTCTATTTGTGAGGGAGAAAATAAACTTGCAACAACAGTTCAAGATGGCACCTGACCCCTCACAGCTGATGTAAGTGCACACAGGAGGGACCCACAGGCCTCAGAACTTGGACAACTCACAATCAATGAACTCACCCTAGACCACAAGAAGAAAATACACCATCCATTTCCCAAAAACCTTTACTCAGAAAGACCATATTCTAAGCCATCACATAAATCCCAATACACAGTTTGATCCCCAGAACCCACCATGGAAGGAGAAAACCAGCCTCTGATGCCTCTGTTGTGGTATGTATATACCTACACACGCACACACACACACACACACACACACACACACACACACCAATAGATAAAGTTTTAAATATCAGCTGCAACATGTTCGCATTTCTAAATAATCAATGTCAACATCAAATAGGAAATCAGAAAATATTTCTGTCAGAGGGCCAAAGCCAGTCCACAGCAATCAGCATCCTCTGAGAGCGCTGCAGGGCTGTGACTCTGCGATTTTCTCCTCTCCCATTTGAATTGTTACTCCTGACTTTCCCCCTTTGCTCTCTGATCACTCTGTTCTTAGAGCGGGGGCAAAACAAGAGCCTGAGACAGGGCCTTCACAGTAGGGCTCCACAGACCTTGCCTTAGCCTCTCCCAGGACGCTGGCAGTGGGGGATGATGACCCCTTGAGGCGGCAGAGAGCAGATCAGGCACTCTCTCGGGCTGTCTGCTGAGGTCAGAAGAGGGTATTGAATCCCCTGACACTGGAGTTACAGACGGTTGTCAGCTGCCATGTAAGTGCTGGGAATCAAACCCAGGTCCTCTGGAAGAGCAGCCAGTGCTTTTAACTGCTAAGTCATCTCTCCAGCCCCTCTGCTCATATTTTATTTTTATTTTGTTTCCTTTGAGTTTGATTTTCTCTTTGGTTCTAGTTTCTGAAGGTGGACATTTAGGTCCTTGTTAAAACTCAGAACGTGCTAGGCCAGGAGTGGTGGCGCACACCTTTAATCCCGGCACTCAGGAGGCAGAGGTAGGCGGATCTCTGTGAGGTCAAGGCACTCAGGAGGCTAGCCTGGTCTACATAACAAGTTCTAGGTCAGCTAGGGCTACCTAGTGAGACCCTGTCTCAAAAACAAAAAACAAAAGACGGGATGTTTTAAGGGGAGGTGAAACATCCCATCCTACAGGAAAGCTTGTTAAAACTCAGAAAATAGAGGTTGGAGAGATGGCTCAGCAGTTAAGAGCACTGGCTGTTCTTGCAGAGGACCCAGGTTTGAGTCCCAGAACCCACATGGCAGCCAACAACCATCTGTAGCTCCAGTTCCAAAGTATCTGATGCCCTCTTCTGACCTTCTCGGGCATTGCTTTGCATGATATGGGTGCACTAATGCACATGCAGGCAGGCAATACACTCATATATATAAAATAAAATAAAACTAATAAATAAAAGAGCCAGGCATGGTGGTACAGGCTGGAATCTCAGCACTCAGGAGGCTGAGACAGAAGGATTGTGAGTCTTGATTTCAGTCTAGACTACATAGTAAGACTCTGTCTCAGAAAAGGAAAAAAGAATAGTGTGTTGGGCAGGGGTAGGGGGTGTCAAGTAGATCATGTGACAATGGATGCAAGCTATTGGGGTAATATGAAGAGGCCTTGAGCAAGGAATGTAGTTAGCATCTGGATCTAAAAAATTAAACATTCCACCCTATGAAAGACTGAAAGGGTACAGCCTCACTGACACCTGGATGTTAGCACACAGAATTCATGAACATCTAGCCTCTGGGACTGTAGGAGTATTACTGCTGAGCTTATGGTGGTTTGTTACAGCAGTAACAGGAAATTAAT